AATTGGGCCCAGGCTATAGGGAGACTAGGAACTAAGATTTGTGTCAAAGACAATCATTTCGGGGTCGCTTGGAAGTTGCGATTGTTAAATAGATGTATTGTTAAGAATGCATGTATAATATTATACATGTATTGTCGAATTTGATGCATTGTAGAATACAACGTTTGGTATGTGTGATTGTGTATGTCGCATCAGCTAAAAGCTGAGACAAAACAATCTCAATTCAACTATCTCAACAATCACAACTAAAAGTTGAGATATAATAATCACTCAAAATGAGTGATAGTTTCTGTCACATCACAGAAACAATTCATGTATTTTTTCTGCTAAAAAAACAAAAAAAAACGATGCATTATAAACAATACATGCATAATGACAATCTCAACAAAACTATCGCAACTTCCAAACGAACCCGATCTCTCATTTCTTCTCCTTGCCTTTCCCCCCAAAATTCGCAAAATCTAGGATTCTCTATCCTTAATTCGATTTCAACACATTACAAGAAAAATTTGTAGTTGGATTATAATGTAGAAAATAGAGAGGCCTCAGATTACCAAAGGTGTGGATGTATGGACTCCAGAATCAAATTTGAAGTTGTTGGACTGTAATGTAGAAAATAGATAGTTTACTTATTGAATGTAATGTTTGTTTTATTTATATAGTGTTTTGTCATTTTATTATTCTGCTGAACATTTATTAATGTAATAAGCTACAATATATTCTTTATTTTTTTATGAAATAAAATCAAGCAAAGACTTTTCTCTCAACGTGGTATAAGAGCCTAAATGTCCTTCATCAAGCACACATATAGTGTCATAAGCCTCGTATTGGTCGGATTTGAGCCACAAAAGAGCACACATAACAATGTCTTAAGCGGTGGAATGGATCAGTCTCAAACTGTGGTTCAAGTACCTACTTCACTAGCTTCTACCATATACATGAGAAAATAATAATCCAATGATGACCACACATTTCGTCTTCGGCAACCACAAGTCCACACGTATGCCAATCAGAGAAGGATGAGGAAAATGAAGCCATACTAGCATTTGAAAGAATGAGGATGAAGATGAGCTAGGTGTAAGAGATTCAACATATGATAGCGGGAGTACAAGCAAATGTTAAAAAGTATTGTTTTAAGAGTGAGAATAAGAAAATTGAAAGAATGAATCAACTAATTTACATGACACTCCTTCTGGTTAGAGGGGTTCAGTTTCCTCAAGTGGATGATCCGGTGATGGTAAAATTGCTTGTACTTAGAGAAGCTATTGTTTGGTGTATGGAGCAAGGATTGGCGGAGGTCCGGTTTGAGGGCGATGCAAAGGTCATTATTGACAAAATTAATCAAGCCAACATGAGAGATAGCCGGTTGGGTGCTGTTCTAGAAGAGATTGGTCACTACTTTCGTACCCAGTCCGGTTTTAGTGTGCGTTTTGTAGGTCGAGAGAACAATAGGGTAACTCATTTGGTAGCTAGGAAAGCCCTTTCATTGTATCCGACTATGAGTCGCTTCTTTGATTTCCAGTCCTGGCTGGTTTCCAGGGTGTAATTGTCTATATTTGATTAATACAAGATATCTTTTGGGGAAAAAAAATTTACATGACATGTGTGCTATAGTTTCTATGCCTAATGTAAACTATACCTAATGTTGAGTATCTCTCTATGATGTTAGGAGAGGTGTATGGACTATAGAAAGAAAATGCACTGACAAAAAAAATTATCACTCAAATGAGTGAAATGTTTGAGGTTTACAAAATCAAGTATGCACCTCCCCCCTCGAACTCTGAGCCTACTATTGAGATTAGTGGTAGTGACTATGTATGTTGTTGGTGGAACATTTACGCCCTGTTCACTTCCATTTTCGTTTCCTGTTTTCTGTTTTCATGTGATAAATTTGGCAACCGAAATGAGAAAACTTGTTTACTTTTCATTCTGTTTTCTATTCGTTTCCAACTATGAAAACAGAAAGTGGCAACTTCCTGCTGTTTTCGGAAACGACAAAATGTTGTTTTCACATGTTTTCAACATCTGTTTTCTCAAAAACAGGAAACAGAAATGAAAGTAAACAGGCCCTTAATGTCGAGTTTAAAAAGAGAAAGGAGCGGTTAGCATGACTACCCCATAAGGGGGGTCGGTTAGCATGCTAACCCCCTTAGGGGTTGGAAAAATGACACCCCCCTAGTATATTAAATACAACTATAATTAATACACAATAATTAATACACACATTAAATACACATTAGGAATTAAATGTACCATATTAATTAGGAATTCTCTCACTATTAAATACACATTAGGAATTAAATACACACATTAAATACACATTAGGAATTCTCTCACTATATTTGATTTTTCCTTTTTCAGTAGTCTCCGACCACCAGACTTCCTCCGACCGCCACACTTCTCCGGTGAAAATCCCATCGGCAGACTCCCTCCGACCACCTCCAAAAAATATACCACTGTACTGGTAGATATACCACTGCACTGATACGTTGTACCACTGTACTGGTAGATATAACACTGCACTGATACGTTGTACCACTGTACTAGTAGATATACCACTGCACTGGTAGCGATATCAGTGCAATGGTAGCAATGTCGTATCTGAGTATCAGTGCAGTGGTACAAATACCAGTAAAGTGGTAATTAATGTGGTGTATTTAATGCTTACTTTGTATTTAATAACAGAACATTTATTATGTTTACTTTCATTAATACTTGTCAATAATTAATGAAAAATTGATCAATTAAAAGGGGGGTGTCAAAAAACCAACCCCTTAAGGGGTTAGCATGCTAACCCGTCCCCCATAAGGGGTTTGCTTTTTGACACCCCACTTAGATGTCATCCATTTTTATTAGTGTTAAACGAATGGTTAGGATTAAATATTTATTTATTGAGTAGTAATCACGTAATTATTGCTCTATAACCTACATTGAAAATGAAAGAAATCGGGTATCGAGGAAAAAATGGTTCCCAAGATCAATACAAAATTAATTAACCCTCACCATTTTATCACTCCCTCTCATATCCTCATATCTCCCTTTCAATAACCTATCTATGGAAACCCTCCCCCGACGTAACCTCTCCCCGCAACGGAATCATCACCCTTCCGGCCTCCGTTACGGTTCCTCAACGACCATCGGCGGCCCATCCCATCCGTCGGCCATCCTCCGACTTCACGCCACAGGTCTATCTTTTCGATCGTCGACGCGAAGGGATCGACAAGGAAGACGATGACCCTCCTCACCTTTCCGGCGAAGACGATGACCCTCCTACCCTTCCGGCGTTGGCCCTCCTCCCCTTTCCGGCGAAGATGACGAAAAAGAATCTGAGGTAGAACTCTCTCCCAAACTCATATATATGGGTTTTTCGTGTGGTATTAGTACTAGTGCAATTTTCTTTTCATCACCCAGATCTGTGTTTTTGAGTTTCGAGAACTGGATTTTTTCTTGTTGTATCAGTACCTGTGCACTGGTATGTCTATCACTGAAGTGGTATAAATTGTTGATTCTGGTACAGAAGTATACCACTCCAGTGATAGTTGATTCTTGGATAATGTAGTGTTGTTTATTTGACTGCAGTCTATCACCACATTGATATAGTTAACCATGTGAATGTTTTTGTGGAATACTGTGTCTGGAATACTGTGTCTATCACTGCAGTTGTTGATCTATCGCTGCAGTGGTAGATCTATCGCTGCAGTGGTAGTTCGTTGTAATGTTTTTGTGGGTAGTGCTATCACTGTAGTAGTACAAACAAAATCATTATGGTTGTTTAAAGTACAACTACCGTAGTAGTTATGTTTAGAATGGCTTTCTAGGATAGAGCTATCAATGGATTGATATATTTGCAGTGAAAGTCTTATTGTTGATATCATCTATCAGTAGTTATATTTATTGGTTTGACTTTTGATTTTACCTTCTTTGGTTTCAGTCAGAGCAGTGAGTTCCTCGAGAAGTTGTGGAGCGGCGTCGGATGCACGCTAGGAAAGACAAATCGCACGGAGCAGGGAGTAGAGCACATTCCGGACTACAAACGAGAGCGATTAGCGAGCTTGCAAAATGGAGTAATGACAATGAAGATATTTATGGTCCACCAACTCTTAATGTCGAGTTTCAACGAAAGTTAAAGAGGCTCGAGGTGGAAAAATATATTGTATTCATTTGGTTAATCAAATTGATGATGAATTTAATGGATGCATATTTTGGGAACTGTAATGGTATTTGGTGCTCTATTTTCACATTAGTAGTATCCTTCCCCCAATTCTTATAGTTTAGTGGCGTGTAGTGTATTTCTCTCATACAAAATACAAATGAAGTGGTACATTAGAAGTGGCAAATACGAGTTGGAGTGAGAACAATACCAGTGCAATGATATTTTTCATAACAATGATAAACAATAACGAAGCAACAATGCAGTACCACTTCAATGATACAAATATCAGTAAATTCCCTCATGCCATACTCCTGTGGTACATGTATCAGTTTAGTGGTATATGTATCAGTTCAGTGGTACAAGTACATTATATCTAATGCTGCAATGGTAACGTTTGAACATCGATATTTCATCTAGAAATTTGTCCCTCAACAATTTTAAAACAAGTTTACAAACTTCAATATTGGTCCCGGAACAATGTATCACTAGACTGGTACATAAAAACACAACATTAAGGGTAAGCACTGTTACTCTTGTCATGTCACTGATACATGTTCATTCAAACAAATATACTAGTTTACGACCGTATTGACAACACCTAATGCAAAGCAACTAGGTTGTTTACGCAGCTTCAATAACCAGTGGTGTCCGTCTGGACCTTTTCAGGGGGAAAATACCATTGCAGTGGCATTGTATCACTTCAATGATACAAAATACCAGTGCACTGGTACATTGTCGGGCGGGAGAAGTCGACGAGACATGAATACAGATCCTTACTGAGATTGTTTTGGTGTTCCTCGGCGTCTCTAATTGGCTCCACTTTCACGGCAGCGCCACCATCTTCCATATGCTCGACGTTAATGATTTCGGGCCGCGTGAAGTGATGAAGTCGATGTACACGTACCACTTCACTGGTGCGAGCAACCCACCAGGTAGGTCAGAGGCGATCCCAGGATGGCGGCGGCTAGAGATAGGAGGATGGTGGTGGGGAAGGCGCTGGAGGAGTACGACGGTTGGAGGGATGAAGGCAGCACAGGTGGAAGGCGTGGATGAAGAGGGCGGAGAGGGGTGATGGCGGTGGCGGTGGTGGCTGCGGGAGGAAGAGGAAGATGAAAATGGGGGAGGGTTTTGATCGTTTCAGAGTAGAGGAGGGTCTGGGTTAAAATGAAATCAAAATGGAAAGGGGGTCCAAATGGAGAGAGAAGGAGACGAAAGGAAGAAAAAAAAATGACAATTAATTGCACATTTGGGGGGTGCTTTTTTCTGATTCCCCAAATTCTTCCCTTTTCCAATGTAGGTGAGAGAACCCAAATTACAAGATTAAAAAAATAAATAAAATCAGTTTAATTAATACTTGCCAATAATTGGAATAAAATTGACCAATCATAAGGGGTGTCAAAAAGCCAACCCTTTAAGGGTAGGTATACTATTCGACCCCAAGGAAATATGCACTTGAGAGGGGGTTTCATAGGAGTTTTGAGAGGGGGTTTCATAGGAGTTCTGAGTTGACATGTATTTCAGGGATGTAGATGATGCCATTAAAAGAGGATGTTTGACTTTGACGTGGCTTAATGACCGAGTTAAACCACTTTATCATCTTGCCAAACTCTTCTCAAGCCTTTTATTTACAGCTTTAGACTATGTGGCCAAATCCCGACTGTTTGAGAAGAGCATGTGCTAACATGCACATATATGGCTGTTAGTACCATATCCATCTTGCTCCCGTTCCTACTCCGTCATTAAGCAGGGATAACGAAACACCATGTCACCAGCAGATGAGGAATAGAAGAAATTGTCAAGTGGAGCAAAGAGTTCGTCAACCTGGAGCAAATAATATAAGTGGAAGTGTAGAATACAAACATAAGAGAGCTAGCTTGCTCGTCTCTGTCATTCCAAATCTCAATACTGGAGTATGGAGCAGACTAAAAAAAAGAGGACAATCCCATCTGAATTCTAATGTTTTCGACATTTAACCATCTATAATCTGGATTTGTTGTATTTACAACGTTACATCAAAGCTATCCGCGAACCAATCTGTTCAATAGCAGTCTGATAAGGCAGGAACCTGAGTACATCTGTTCAATTCCATGAGCTGGTGGAGACTGGAGAATAGATTGCCGATCTACCAAGATATTTTGCTGCCCGGTTAGTCCAGCGAGAAGTCTTCGAGCCATATCAGCACTTCGTTCCTCTGCAAACACAAAAGAGTAAAGGTGCTAACTTTAAGTTGCCATTGATATTCCCCTTTTTTTACCAAGCTCATGCTGGATGCAGATTTCTCATCACAGCAATGCTTAAAGAAATGGTCAAAGAACAGTCGCATACCATGATGGAGCTCCAGGTTCGGGTAGGGTCGTTATAACGAGCAAGCAAACAACCTGGCTTTGCACTAAGACCATCCCTGACGAGACAGGACCGAACTACTTTCTCCTTCTCGCGTGTTATTTCCTCGGTTGGTTTCCCACTGAACTTGTGCACAGCAGCAAATCCTCCTTTCATCTTTTTCAATCTCACATCATCCTCGATTGGTTCTGGTAAGCTGGTCAAAAAAAAGAACCGGACTTTGTTGATTAACCGAACTCTGAGCATTTCAGTACATTGCTTCCAAGTGAGAGAAACATGAGAAGTTGGCTCACTTGCTAAAGTCTTTATCCAGGGGAAGAACTACTTGGATGGCAACTTTTGACAGCTCTGGATCCTTCGCCTCAGTGAATACCGGAGTGGTCATAGATATTACTTCCGTCTTTGTATTATTCCCAAATATATACCTTCACATATAGAATCCAATGGTCCATTACTTGGGATTGAGTGAGTGAATGACAATAACAAAACTTGAACTGCTGATTTAGACGTGTGTTTGAATAGAATACTCACCCAGTGACAGAACTGAAACCACCTGAGCCTGCCAAATGATCCCCAGTTGTTTCAACTACCATAAAAGGCTTATACTTTCTTACCTACAGGGCAATAAGAAGTTTCATAAACCAAATCCACTCAAGTAATAGATTTGCTGCTTCTAAATAATCTGATTACTCTCTATTAAAACTTCCCCTCATCATTGGTTCATAATGCCTCAATGATCTTTTATGACCGAAATATCATCAATCCCGCAAGGGGTAAAAGCAAATTGAGATGAACTTCAGGTGAATCTTAACTCTACACACAACCATGACAAGCGAATAAGTAAAGTCCTTCAACACAAACTCACCTCATAAACGGCTGTCCGCTTCAATATCTCGTACTTGGGCGTTTCCCTGTCAGGGGTCTTGTAAATCCTCAACTAAAACACATTAACCACATATGAACAAATCGTCAAAATGTAGATTGAAAACCAAATCTCTGGCAGCAAAAGTTGCATGCTAATAATCACCGAGAGAGAGATAGACATACCTGTTGAATCACATCCCACAATCCTTCCGGCGAAAAGAACTGATTGTTGGAAACAGAATCCCAGTAATCCTGCAAAAGATTAAGCATCAAAGAAACAACCCTATCAGAAACCATTGCACTGATTCCACATTCCCCAAATCAGAGAATCCATCCTAACTGTAACCCATATCTTACCGCATGGCTGCAGAACTTGCCGGTCTTAGGATTGACGCCCATCACAGAAGTCCCCGTGAAGACCAACTCCGGCTGCCATGGAAGAATTATGAACCGCATCACCATCGTCCACCTCGTAGTTATCTCGTAAGATCCTGTCTATACCAGCAGCCGACACAATCAAACCAAAACTCAAAAAAATTAAAAACCCTAACCCTGAAAACCGGATGATAAAAAAATTCAACCTGCTTGACCCAGTGCAGCTGAAACTTGGGGCGGAACAGATGCTTGAGAGCCGCAATATTCATGAGATACCCATCGAGGTCGTCGTGGCGGGTGATTGGGTCCCGGAACTGAACATAATCGTCGTACGCCGTCCGATCGATTCCTCGCTCGTCGAAGAGATGGGGGAGATCCTCGTAGAGGAAATCGACCAGCTTCGCCATGTCGACATCGTTGCTGCCTTTATCCGAATCGGAATCCGACGAACTGTCGGACGAAGCCTGTTTCTGATCCACCGGGGAGAGGGTCATCCTGATTGCCCAATTGGTGGGGCGGCTGAGAATGGGACGGAAGAGGGTTTTGGGGATGTGGGTGTTCTGCCGGAGACGGCGGGAGGCAACGGAGGAGGAGGAAGAGGGGACATGGGATGAGGGGAAGGGGATTTGGAGGGAAAATTGAGCGGTGGCGGCCATTTGGCGAAGTGGGTATGTGGCGACATTGCCAAGTTTTGCGCTTTTTGGGGGTTTGGAAAGGGAGGAAGGAGAAGAATTGGAAATGAATGGCTGGTATTCCTCGTACAGAAAAGCAGAGGGAGCTCTCGACGGAGTTGAGAGGATTTACGCGCCTTATTTTCCTCCTCCAATTTTTCATTTTTTCTTTTCTTTTAAATAATCCCTCCAAATTTTATTGGGTGGGGTTATTTCGCATGTTAACTCGAAACCTCATTATCCAAATGAATGGGCCATTGGGCCCAATACGGCTGGTCCGCACCTTCTGGCCCAGAAGTATCCGACCGCGTCAGAGGGCAAACCTAGCAAGGAGCAAAAACGGTAGTACAGTGGCGACTGTAGTTAAGTAACTAAGTGGTACTTGGTAGTACAATTAATTATGTGACTTCTGAGTACATTTCTGGGGATCTGGTGGATGCTCTTCGGCCTATATAGCTGAAAGATAACACACACAGTTCAACCATGAACTTCAAATTCTTATGTGTTTTGCTTACCTCTCATGGTGGTGATTCAAAAAGGTTCGAATGCGGAGGGGACTTTGGTGCCTAGGATCGGTGAGGAAGTCGAACTTTGAGCTAGCACGGCTGCATTCTTCTTGTTACTATGTTTATCGCCGCGCTTAGGCACCAAAGTCACCACCACATTCAACACTCTTTTTCAAGATTTTTTTTTTCAACTATGACTGTCGAGACGAGTATCATCCTAACTTATCGTTTCCCGAGTGAGTATTGTGATTGTTGCTTCGTTAAGACATTGTAGATGACTTCTTTCAATTGGTTTTTCTTTGTCTGTCTCTATTCTTGCCACAGAAATTCAGCGAAAAGCTAGATCTAGTACTTGGAAATGGGAGCTATTTCAACCAGTACTTTGATGGTTATCTTCTACTTGATTGAAGAACCACAAGATCTCATCCTGACGTGTTTTTTTTTTTATTACGTTTGACCTTCGTGGCTAACAATTGATGGCAACTTTTAAATATTTTTCAATGTTAGACAAAGAGAAGTAATGTGATTACTGCAGAAATGGGTTTGAGTTTTAACCAAATCATGAAAACCACGACTCATAAGTAAAGGAAAGTTGAGAATAGGAATTGAATCATTGGTGCATTTAATTTGGTTTAGTCCGATTCAAATATCAATTCTATCTAATTTTTTTATAGAATTCAAAAAATCTGGAGAACTAAGAACCGAACCGAATCATACTCGATATCATTTAAGTCAATTCAAATATTGGATTGATATCCACGAGTTACCTAATATAATTAGAATAAGGAAAGCATTTGATCCTACCATGTGACTTGCAAATAACTGGCGGCCCATCACCTTTGTTCATGTGATGATGAAAGTGGACAAATGTGGACTTAATAATATCATTTTGATTTGAAGAAGACACCTTCCTTTGTAATTGAAATGGACATATATATTTTTTTTCGGTGATTGAAATGGACAGATATTAGGTATTCCTCAAATGTTTTAACTTGTGGTGTGAAATTCAATTTAAAATTTCATCGATGAAGTAATTTTATGTTGGATTATCTTGATCGATATAGTTCATAATGTTATTTATTATCTCGTGATTTTCAATAATGTCACTCTTACTTGTCGAGATGGATGGGTGCATGATGGCAAGGTAACTTATTCATTGTTTATTGACAATTTTAGTTGAAACTATAGTCACATATGTTGCAAAAGAATACATAGAATATATTATCTTTCAATTGCTTGAATTTAAAATTAAACCCTTTGGATTTGCTATTCTTCCAGCTCAGCTTGAGTATCCCACACTTGAATTACGAATATAAAGTAACTCAAATCATCTCAACATAACATTTTCCAGCAAAATCAATATTTAAGTAAATTAGACGTTTGAATCTCAAACCCTAAACTTTTATTCGGCAAACAACTCAATGGTCGAGTAGACTAAATTGTTGTAATTCAAAAACTCTATGAATTAATTATTCACCTATATTAAGAAAATTGGCTTGCCGAATATCAACATTGCTCGACCACAACTCAATGGTTAAGTAGATAAAATTTGATGAATCCGAAGATCCAAGGGAAATGTCCTCCCCAACCATGATCTTTATCTCCATACTTCCAAGTTATTCCCATAATCGTTTCATACGGCTTCTTTTACAACAAGAAACTATACCTCCAATTGACTCATTAACGGGACTAAAAAAGAAACAGCAAAGTGGAGAGAAATTAGAGAGAGGAAAAGCTCTCCCCTCTCTCCCCCCTTTCTCTGGTTTTTTTGAACGTTTATGACCGTTGAGGGAGCTCCCTCCTCAACAGGGAGGGATCATTGCCTCAAGCCGCCGGACGGATCTCCGTCAACATCGCCGATCCAACCCAGCAAGAAGGCAAAAGCGAGCTCGAGCACAGAATTCTCAGGGAGGTCAACATGGAAACAATCTTAGTGGTGACTGCGAGGGCATATGAAGAGGAAATGGATACAGAGCATCAACAAATTGAAGATCCACTGGTTGCAGAGGCGGCTCTGGAATCGGGTACAGGGAAAGCCTCCTATAGAGAATCCTTCCTTGGAAACAGCCCACCAATGGATATCCCGGAGGGTGACGATTTGATGTCGGATGAGTCCGACAGAGAAGATGGCGAGGACGATCCGGACTGCCCGACGATTAGGATCAAGAAGCGCACCAACGCGATCATCTACAACCGTTGGAGAAGAGCCATCACGTTTCGCACCTTGGGGAAGACATTCCCTTTCGCCTTTGTCCACAGGAGAGTCCAGAGGATGTGGGCAAAAATAGGGGGTGAAGGTTGGAGACATTGGAAATGGATATTTCCAAGCAACTTGAGACTCGCAGATTGACCACGACAGAGCTCTCTACGGCGGGCCATGGACAATCGAAGACCATTATATTGCTGTCGAACCATGGAGATTGGATTTCGATCCGGACTTCGACACAATTGATAAAACCTCAGTTTGGGTAAGACTTTCTAGCCTTCCTCTCACTTACTTTGATGAGGAAATCCTTCTGGACATAGGGAATAAGCTTGGAAGGGTGGAGAAGATTGATTATAACACTGCCAACGGATTCAGGGGGAGCTATATGCCCGCATCTGCGTTGAAATTGATCTCAGGAAACGACTGGTTTCTAAGTACAAGATTAAGAGAAGAGTGAGGAGAGTTGAATATGAGGGGTTGCATATTGTCTGCTATGAATGTGGCCACTATGGTCATACTACTGAGAATTGTCCCCAAAGGAAAGCTGAAGCTGATGCTGGCCCGAATGAGAGGACTCTTGTGAACAACAATCCTGGCTCTAACCAGGAAATCCGGCCAGAAATTCTTGAGGACTTTGGCCCATGGATGCTTGCAAGCAGACCAAAATTTAGGGGAAATCTGATGAAGAACAAGAAGGGGGAGGCGAAGGGGAATGTGAACCTCCCACTGAGAGCTGACACAGAGAATGGATCAAGGTTCAGTGTTCTGGATATGGAAGTTGATGGTACTAAGGAAGGGGAGGAGAATGTGGAGGAGATGAACACAAACCAGAATCAGAATGAGGAAGATGGCATGGCAACACAAATGGAAACTTCAAAATAGAATCTCCAAGCATCACAACAGGAAAATAAACAAGAGAAGAAGAAGCAAGGAAAGAAGGAGAAGAGCAAAAGTGAGGGTACAGATGGCAAGGTCCAGAACCATGCTAACAAAGAAAAAATGAGGAAGGATAACCAAAAAGCCACCCCCGAACCAATCAAGCAGGCTACCAGAACTCCTGTTTCCCAAGGAGGAACGAGCAATGCTAACCAAAGGCAAAAGGAAGTGGCAAATCCACCTACCAAAGCTGCCTCCCCTACTGCCACCCTTAAACAAGCTAAGCATAATGGATCCAAGTCCACTCCGGAAACAAGCAAGAAAGGGAGTAGTAAATGGCCTTCATTGGATGCTAACACAAGTCATCAACCAAAAATGAAGAAGATGACTACGGGGAATGATGAAAGAGTGTTCCCCAAGGAAATACCTAAGATTCCAGGTGGTGAGATTGGGAAGCCGAGGAAAATCGAATTTGGACCTCGACAGGAAGGGAGGAGGCCATTGCCAGAGAATGCTAATGCCCTAGGGGATACTGTCACCAGCAGTGTGCCAGGGGAGCAGGGGACGGCAATGACCGTCAACCAAAGATAATCTGGACCATTAGGTCGTCAGGAAAGCCCTCAGTCTTTCTATGGTTAAGATCCTTTCTTGGAATTGCAGGGGTGTCAAGCACTCCAAGTTTTGTGCTACTTTTCAGTTGTATAAGGTTAATTTTAACCCTGATATCGTCTGCATTCTCGAACCTAGAATAAGTGGAGAGAAGGCTGATAAGGTCATCAAAGCCCTTGGCTTTGACTCGTTTAAAGTATCCGAGGTAGTGGGGTTCAATGGAGGTATATGAATTCTTTGGAACAACAGTAGCCTGAAGTTGGATATTGTGGATAAACATAAACAATTTCTCCACCTGAGATGTGCCATTGGAGGCCAAGATAGATTCTTTCTGACTGCTATTATGCAAGTCCGAATGAGCATGACATATGTGATCTTTGGAGTCTTCTGAAAGGAATGGAAGGAGGCATTAACCTGCCATGGATGCTGACCGGTGATTTCAACTCCATCATCAGCCCCTCAGAGAAGCAAGGATGCTCCCCTTTCAGCTTTGCAAGAACCAGAGCCTTCAAAGATTGTATTGATGAATGTGGACTTGTTGATTTGGGGTACTCAGGTCCCCACTTCACCTGGTTTTCCAATTGCAATAGATAAAAGAAAGACTTGACAGAAGCCTCTGCAACCTGGCATGGCAACAGCAGTTTCCAGCAACGAGTGTGCTTCACCTCCCCAAACTGAAGTCTGACCACATACCTATCCTCACTGTCACCTCCCATGAGCGTGGAAAGGAAAAATTGGTGAGGAGATTCCATTTCCTGGCTTCCTGACTTGATCATAAGGATTTTCTTCCCTTTATAGCAAGTTCATGGAGAAATGGCTATGAGTTTCTCTTCTCTTTTTGGATCTTTCAAGAGAGCTGCAGAAATGGAATAAAGATGTTTTTGGAAACATTTTCAAGAGAAAGAAGCTTCTCCACTCCCTGAAATCCCTTGAAATGTTGAACCAGAGGAAACCTTCCAGGAGCTCACTTGAGAAGGAACAAGAAACCAGAGAAGAACTTGAAAGCACCATCTGGCAAGAAGAGATGTTGTGGAACCAGAAATCAAGGGCAAATTGGGTTACAAAGGGAGACATGAATACTAGTTACTTCCACAACTGCACTATCAGCCGAAAGAAGAGGAACAAGATCACAACTCTCCTCAATGACCAGGGACAATGGGTCATGGACCCAGATGAACTTCAGAAGATGGCTAGAACCCACTTTGTTGAGTTGTTTACTGATGACAGTATTGATTGCAGGAACTCTATTCCAGCTAGTTTCCCTGGCATTGATGAGAGCAGAATGCATCCTCTCAGGAGGCTCCCAACAATTGAGGAAATCAAATCCATAATAATGGAGATGAATGGCCTTAAAGCTCCTGGGAAGGATGGATTCCATGCTCTTTTCTACCAAAAATGTTGGAATACTGTTGGGATGAACTTCTTTCACTTCATAGTTGCTTGTTACAGGAACCCAGGGAGGATCCATAGCATTAATGAAACTCTCCTAGCTCTGATACCTAAAGTGGATTCTCCTTCATCGATGAACCACTTTAGATTTATCAGTCTGTGTAACGTAGGCTACAATGTGGTGGCTAAGAGCATTGCCAACAAGCTGAAGAATCTAATGCCCCATCTTGTACTGCCTAATCAATCTAGTTTTGTTCCCAACAGACATATTACTGACAATATCATTATTCTTCAGGAGACTTTTCACTCCATGTCCAGGAAAACTGGAAGGAAAGGGAGCATGCTGCTGAAGGTGGATCTTGCAAAGGTGAAACTTCTTTGCTGATGACCTGGTTCTGTTCTCCCATGCTAGCACTGCTCAAACTGATGTGGTTATGAAATGTCTTGAATATTTCTACCTTGCTTTATGTGAACTTGTTAGCAAAGAGAAATCCAGAGCTTACTTCTCTAAGAATGTTTCTCAGGCTGCTAGACACTCAATATGTTCTAGGCTTGGTATCCAAGAAACCAATGACCTTGGCAGATACCTTGTGGTTCCTGTACTCCATGTAGGGGTGGGCAACGGGAAACGGGTATTTGGGTATACCTGTACCCGTCCCGTTTTTTAAGGGTTATGGGTACCCATATTATCCGTAATATTTTAAACGGATGGGACTTGGGATTGTACAATCCTAATATGGGTACCCACGGGTTACCCGCGAATACCCGTTTGGGTAATATGGGTACCCGTTGTACCCATTCAAATTACAAAGAAATATAATTCAGCCCATGCGCCCAGGCCCAACCCAATTCAAAATCCATTAAAATTACAAAATCCATTTAATTCAGCCCGTGAGAGTTGAGACGCTGACGCACCCTTGCTTGCTGCTGCAAAATTCACCACCTTCCCCACCCTATTTTGCCAAACTGAGGATTGATTTGAGTAAAAACAACATTATTATTATTATTATTATAATTATTATTATTATTATTATCATTATTATTATTATTACTGAATCATGGCACTTTCCAGGAAGCAGAACTTGTTATTATTATTATTATTACTGAATCATGGCACTTTCCAGGAAGCAGAACTTGTTCTCTTTCTGGGTTTTATTATTTGGTCCTTTCCCCTTCCTTGATTCCTTTTCATCTTCATCATCATCCCTTCTTTGGGTTGTAGGAATTGGCGTAAGTTGCTACTTGTGCAGCCATTTTGTGTTTTGAAATGAATGCTTTGGATGTAATTGACTAATTGTCTTTAGGTAAAATGTCATTTAAACTTTGGGTATTTATGGGTAGTATGGGTACCCGTTATCCGTCCCGTACGGGTAATGGGTACCCGTTTCCCATATAGGTTTGGGATATGGGATGGACTTTGGGGCTGGGTACCCGTTTAAAACGGGACGGGTATCCCGTCCCGTCCCGTTGCCCACCCCTAACTCCATGAAAGAATCAGCAAGAATACCTACACGTACATTATTGATAGGTGTTTGACTGCCTGGAAAGCCAGAACACTTTCTCTGGCTGGGAGAGTGACACTGGCAACTTATGTTCTCAATGCAATCCCAACTTATGCTATGCAGACCACCCCAGTCCCACTTAGTGTGTGTGATCTGGTCGATAGAAAGGTTAGGGGATTTGTTTGGGGGTCTCAAGATGGTAAAAAAAAGCCTCACCTTGTCTCATGGGATACCATTTGTAAACCTAAGATACAAGGGGGACTGGGGTTGAGATCTGCTCGTTGTTTGAATAAAGCTTTTATGATTAATTTGGCCTGGCAAATCTTTAATAATGAAAGTGCTCTATGGGTTCGGGTCCTTCAAGGAAAATATTTTAAGCACGGGAATGGTGAGATCACATCCATGAAAAAGACTAACCATTCAAGTCTTTGGAGAGCTATTGTGCAGGCAATGCCACTTATGAAGGAGGGCTCATGCTGGAGCATCAGAAATGGAGAGACAACCTCATTCTCGAGGCATACATGGATTGAGAACGATCTGGTGCTTGAGAACTTCATCACTGGAGAGCTTAATATGGATGATCTGGACACAACTGTGGCCTACTAGGTTCACCCCTCAGGTGAGTGGGACTGGGAAAGACTGAATTCTGTGCTCCCTAATGATGTTCTCTCTCTGATTGCAGGAATGGAAACTCCTAAGCCTGAACTTGGAGAGGATAAAATGATCTGGGGCCTGGAACGTGATGACGGGTTTCATTTGAAGTCTGCATACTACCTGGCGGCTAGCAATGATGAGGAGGATGCTATGCAAAGTTGGAAGCTGTTGTGGAAATGGAAAGGGCCTAATAGAATAAAACATTTTCTGTGGCTGGTCCTCCATGACAAGCTCTTCACCAACAGGGAGAGAACAAGAAGGAAGATTGCGACAAATCCCTACTGCAACTACTGCAGGGACAATGAAGAAACAGTTGAGCACATTCTGCGCAGTTGTGGAAAAGCAGGCATTATCTGGCACAAGTTCAAGGACAAGCTGCACATTCATGATATGAACTCCCCCTTCCAGGATTGGATCATTGGAAATCTGTGCAATGAGGAGAAAGGGGTGGATTTTGGGGTTGTTTGCTGGAACCTCTGGAAACAAAGAAATGAGGAAGTTATGGAAGGCATCAAGTTCTCTGAGCAAGGACTGGTCTGTCGAATTAGAGCTTGGCTTAATATCATCGAGCAAGCCAAGCAAAGGGATTTGATCACTACTGTTCCACCTAACAAGAACTACCAGTGCAGTCAGATTGTGTGGAAAGCCCCTAAGGAGGGATGGATTCAAGTTCAAGTTGATGGATCGGTACTGCAACCTTCTGGGAATGCTGTTGCAGGAGGGCTCATCATAGGCCATTTTGGACGATGCAAGGAAGCGTTTGTTTGCAATCTAGGCCACTGCACAATTACTACTGCAGAACTAAAAGGCGCCTTTGAAGGGCTTAGGATTGCTTGGGAAAGAGGCTTCAGGAAGGTGGAATTAAAGCTGGATTCGGCTGCTGTTGTTAGCATCATTAGATACTGCTTGGATGACAATCATCGACATGGAACCATTGCTAGGAAGTTTTACCACTTTTTTCGTTTGATTGGGAGGTGAGAGTCTCACATGTGTATACAGAGGCTAATTTTGTTGCTGACTTTCTCGCTAGCAGAGGTCACCTGTTTGATTTTGGTACACATCTGTTCGATGTGTACGACATGGAACTTGGCCATTGGCTACGTCACGACATCGTGAGAGTTTCACATGATCACTTAATTATTAATACGAATTAGACGCTATAGCATCCATCCTTCTACCAAAAAAAGAAACTATACCTCGTTGTTTTTGCCAACCAAAATACAGAGATGAAAAAACTACATTGGGTTTCTTGTTTAGAGTTATCAGTCACTTCCATAAAACGTTAAAACAATGAAATTCCACCCTGGTTTGGTTATCCAAAGCTATCGCCCGATCACCAACTCGCCGGCGGCCGCCGCGCCACCGCGGCCAGTCAACCGGACAAATCGAATAAAAACAAGCAAAGAAAACAAGAAAACAACAGGATCCAGTTGGCGCCCAACAATAGCCCCACTCCCTCCGCATTTAAACACTCTCTCCACTGAGGAAAAAAAACGCGTATTCTTCTTCTCCCACACCCCCTGTCCATATTCTATTCCTCCTCTAAATCATCGCCACCGCGCCCCGCCAGCCGCCGCCACCATCTCCTTTCTCCCTGCCCTATAAATTGGCTTGAGAGTCGTAGACGGCGCCTATTATCTCCTTACCCTTTTCCCCCGATCTTTCTATCTTCACCCTTTTTCGGGTTTTCCTCACACTCTGTTTTTCTCGGCCGCGAAAATTTTGAAGTTCGGAAGCAGCTTGCTCTGTCTGTCTTTCTATCTATATATATATATAGTCCTTTCTCACATCCATTTCGGATCCGTCTCTTGGTGGGTCTCTCACTTTCTCCTGGGAGGAGAATCGGGCGATCTCTGAGCTTCATTTCCAAGCTGGTCAAGGTGCGGAGTTTTCCAATCTCATCTCTTTTTTACTTTGACAATAGTTCTTGTCCAATTTTTTCGTGGGTTTGTCGAATCTGTGAAGTATGAACAGAATTGGTTTCTGGGTTTCGATCTGTTATTGGGAAAGCTCAGGACTTCATCGTGAATCTGGCTTTAGATTTGAATCTGCGATGCAATAGACAGATTTAGGGATTTGTTTGAATCAATAGGTCGAAGCTGAATTTGCCGATTGATTTAGGGGTTGCTCTTAATGTTTGCAGTGGGGAAAAGATGGCAGAGACTCAACCAAGCAAACCCTTGATCCAGCCATCATCGTCTCGAAAGCTCCCAGATTTCAAGAAATCCGTGAAGCTGAAATACGTGAAGCTCGGTTACCACTACCTCATCACTCATGGCATGTACCTCTTCCTTTCCCCACTAGTAGTCGTTCTCGCAGCTCAGCTCTCAACTTTCTCCTTCGAAGATCTCCACGAGTTATGGGAACATCTCCAGTACAATCTCATCTCAGTGATTGTCTGCTCGACCTTGATGGTCTTCCTCTTCACACTCTACTTCATGACACGCCCTCGACCCGTCTACCTCGTCAACTTCTCGTGTTACAAGCCCGATGAGTCGCTCCAATGCACCAAAAAGATCTTCATGGATCGATCTCGTCTGGCCGGATCTTTCGCAGAAGAAAGCCTCGAGTTCCAGAAGAAGATCCTAGAACGATCTGGCTTAGGGGATAACACTTATCTCCCTGATGCTGTATTGGCCGTCCCTCCAAATCCGTCCATGCAAGAGGCAAGGAGAGAAGCCGAGGCGGTGATGTATGGAGCTATCGATGAGCTTCTCGCCAAGACATCTGTTAATCCGAAAGATATTGGGATCCTGATTGTTAATTGCAGCTTGTTTAATCCTACACCGTCACTGTCTGCAATGGTGATAAACCATTACAAGCTTCGCGGTAATATTGTGAGCTACAATCTTGGTGGCATGGGATGCAGTGCTGGTCTGATCTCCATAGCTCTTGCTCAAGATCTTCTCCAGGTCCATCCTAATTCGTATGCTCTAGTAATCAGCATGGAGAACATCACCTTGAATTGGTACTTTGGGAATGATAGATCGAAGCTCGTCTCAAACTGCTTGTTTAGAATGGGAGGTGCTGCCATTTTGCTCTCCAACAAGAGATCGGATAAAAGGAGGTCCAAGTATGAACTCGTTCATACAGTTCGTACTCATAAGGGTTCTGATGATAAGTGCTTCTCTTGTGTAACTCAAGAAGAGGATGCTAATGGGAAAGTCGGCGTTACTCTGTCCAAAGATCTTATGGCAGTTGCAGGGGATGCATTGAAGACTAATATAACTACTTTGGGACCTCTCGTGCTTCCAATGTCAGAACAGCTTCTGTTCTTTGGTACCTTGGTTGGGAAGAAACTTTTGAAGATGAAGGTGAAGCCGTATATCCCTGATTTCAAGCTGGCATTTGAGCATTTCTGCATTCACGCTGGTGGGAGAGCAGTATTGGACGAGTTGGAGAAGAACTTGCACTTATCTGACTGGCACATGGAGCCATCTAGAATGACTCTGTACCGCTTTGGTAATACCTCAAGCAGTTCGCTGTGGTATGAGTTGGCTTATTCAGAAGGTAAAGGGAGGATTAGGAAAGGAGATAGGACGTGGCAGATCGCGTTTGGTTCAGGGTTCAAGTGCAACAGTGCTGTGTGGAAGGCTTTGAGGACTATTAACCCTGCAAAGGAGAAGAATCCATGGATGGCTGAGATCGATAACTTCCCGGTCGATGTTCCTAGGGTGGCAACGATTGGTTAGGTGATGTAAGATCCAGTTTAGTGTGATTTTAACATTCTTGGATGGGAGGGACAAATTCGAGTTGACTGAGTGTATTGATTTTAAGGGGCATTATTCTTTTGGTACATTAAGGCTTAAGGCTTTGCTAACTATATGGGAGTAGTCGAGTCTAGAGTCTTGATTGGCATGTTGGTCTTTTTTGAGGATCTGTAACTTGGTTTCAATTGTTGGGATTCTCACTTGGCTTCTACTTCGATTTCTGCTTGAATCAGTGTTAATCTCTGTTCACTCAAAATGTTGTTCTGGTGAAAGTCAGCGTCGTTCATGAGCCCAGGATATACCCAGGGCGATGCACCTCCAGAGAGCTCTCTTATGATCGTTTGAATGGCAGATTTGATTCCACCAAACTTAGGAACGTCAATTGCAAGCAGCCATGTAAATGCCAACAAAAAAAGCACCTAAACAAGGTAGTCTAAACATCCCATTGTGATTAGATTAGACAACGCATTCATTTTCATTACATTCCAAAGATAATTTAGCAGCAACTTAAATCATTAAGATCTCACTAAGCACAAGGAAAATATGGCCATATCGAATCAGCTTAAAAGTCATAACCATCCTGCAACAACCAAAACAACCTAACAAGATCCACAAGTCTGACATTTTCCCTGGCAACGGATTTCCAAACTCGTTGGGGGGACAAATTAACAGTCTAAGAGGTAAATCTCTAAACATCAGAAGAACAATCTCAGGTGTGTTTGCACGCAGGAACCCAGCTGCTTCTACAAACGCTCTCTATTCTTTGGATGATTTGTTGATGAGGGACTTGTGGATGTGAGGAATAACTCCACCGCCAGCAATGGTACCCTTGATTAGGGTATCAAGCTCTTCATCACCACGGATAGCTAGCTGCAAGTGCCTTGGAGTTATACGTTTCACCTTCAGATCTTTGCTTGCGTTCCCAGCCAATTCCAGTACTTCTGCAGTCAGATACTCGAGAATAGCGGCGGAATAGACAGCAGCTGTAGCTCCTACCCTCCCATGAGCTGTTGTTCGTAGTTTCAGGAGGCGATGGATACGGCCCACTGGAAACTGCAAAGTTATCCAACAAAGAGAAAATTGAGAACCATTCAACCTCAATCTCTCAACTTTCAGTCGGGCTCTAATGAGCAATAAGCACAGGCTTACGTAACAGACAACAAAACTATATTGTAAAACATGCACTGGCAAATGAAAAATGAAGGCCCTATAACACAAAATGAGTCACAAAACTATGATGTAACAGAACAAGCGACTGAAAACTGCCTTGGGTTACTTTAAACAATTCAATCTAAACAAGATCACAGGACAAGGCTAGTTCTCACTTTCTCAGTGCACCCCTTGAACATGAAATTCAAATATCAAGGACATTCGTGGGAGAAAGTCAAGTCAAAATCTCGAGGATATGAGCAACACCTACAATATTGTGAAAGAATCCAAACACTTGCATAAGAACATCCAAGTGCAGTTCACATTCCACATACCCGACCAATGAGCAAAGCCACTAGAAAGACATTTCAACCGACTCTGCAGACGAAGTTTATACATCAAACTAACATGCTGATCAACTATTTTCCATGTTCAGGAGAGAGAGGGAAAAAATAAAGGATAATATGCCAAACTATCATTCAAACTCACATAAAATACTCCTAGCGATTTAGATTCATCCAATCCAAATATCAAGGTTTCTGCTTGTGACATCCCCAACATAGCGAACGTTTATAACCGTTATAACTGTGATCGTGTTACATTATTTTCTAATTTTCAAAGACTGATCTCATTCTTTAGGCTTGCCAGATATATAACACCATACTAGTTCAGTAGACTCAATTAACCGGACAGAAAAGATCATTCAGGGCAACTTAGTATGTGATATTGTAAGAGGTCACATGACTCGATTTATATGCCTCATATAATTATAGTGGCAATAGCAGGACCCAACTTTCTAGCATCTGCAACGAACATTGAATGCAAGGAGCTTGGTCACAGCATCAGCACTCAGAACCAATTCTTCTCTAAACTAAGGGAAATGAATCTAACTCAGCTGGATGGGGAAAAGGTTTTCGAGAACTTGTACCACTATCAGCAAAAGCACCAAATGGCAACCAAAAGCTGTCAAGCTGGTACCACTCCAAATGATCCTTGATACAGCAAACAAGAACTACGCATTTTTTACTACCAACCCACCACAAACCACAACATCTTGCAGGGCCAAACAATTACAGTGTACTAAAAGACTCCGCGCAAATTAAAGGGCACTGCATCTCTGTCTTCAAAGAACTTGGAAGGATTCAGACAACAAAGAGGTCGAGAAAACGGCACTCCAACTTGGGCTCTTTTACAATAAAAGATAAGCAAACGAACTAGAGAAGCCGATTTCCAACAGACTCTGCTATTTGACTTCGAATCAAAGCAAGATTCCACCACAATCTTCTACCGTAAACAACGCCCTAGATACCAAAAAAGTCCGCAGAACCAGAGAAAAGACAAGTAAACGAAGTGAGCGGAGAAAAAGAGGCAACCTAATTCAAACCCAGATGACGCAAATCTCAGAAGAGAGCAAGATACAGAGGAAAAGCTGGAACGAGCAAACAGAGAGAGGGGAAGATCTACAAGAGAAGAGGGTAGGGGAAGAAACCTGGAGACCAGCACGAGAAGAACGAGAAGTGGGTTTCTTCTTCTCTTTATCCTTGTCCTTGTTAGCTGCCGCAGCAGCAGCAGCTCCCTTTCCCATAATCAAACCCTTTGCTCCTTTCCCCGACATCTTCTTTTCCCGCCAACGAAACTTTCTTCTTCCTTTCTTCTTCGGATTAAGGCAGAAGGGAAGGAAGCAAGAATCGAAATTAAGAGAGCCCAGATGCAAGGGAAGGATGGAGCGTTGTGTCAGTGAAAATCTATTCAGCACCGCACAGAGTCTCTCACTGTCTCTCTCTTTCAAATGGAGATGGATTGAGGATTCGCGATGGCCAAGGAGTCGGGAAGGCGGAGGGACTGGAGGAAGAAAAATATAAAGAGAAAAGCGCCTCAGAAGTTCTACAATGACTGAGTTAGCCCTGTCTTTTCATTCATATTATCTACGTTGGGTCGCTCTCCCTCTGCCACTTCTGTCTTCTTTCATTTCTTCCACAAAGAGAAATACTTCCACTACAGAACCGATTGGATTGAAGTATGATCATGGTACCATCTTGTAAGTTAATCCGAAACAGCGGGTAAAAGCTTCGACATTTTGTGGAACCAAAACATGAAGGTGAATTCGCATCGTGAAACCATATAGCGAACAGCTTTTTGTGCTTCCCCGTTCCCTCACAGCTGTTTACATATATCAAGGCGTTTGTGTTGCTAAAGATAGAAGTAGCTTGTACAAAAATGTCAGTGTCTTCTTTCAAGTTTTAACCCTCCCAAATATCATGATGACTGACCAAAGCCCAAACATCAAACCTTGTTTCAGTTCAGCACCATTTCCATAAGGCAGAGAAGAAAAAGAACGATACAAAATGAGAGATCAAGAAAAAAGAGGCGCGCAGAAGGAAAAGATAACAAAGAAGAACAAGTGGGTCTGGCCTAACTCGGGCCGATGGTGTATGTGAGTCGAGTTACATCACTCTTTCCCTGCTGCCTCATCCTTCTCTTTAGTCTTCCCCTCGTCACCACTAATGTGAAACCCCTCTATCTTCCTAGAAACTTCTTCTGCAGCACCCACATTCACCTTCCCCGCCACGGTTCCATTGGCTGCTGCCGCTGTAGCCGCCGCCCCACCTTCGCTTTCGTCATTCGTTAGTGGGCCCGTCTGCCATATCCTGATGGTCCCGTCTTCTGACCCCGACGCATATGATTCCCCTCCTGGTGAAAACCGCACGCAGTGGACTGGACCATGGTGGCCCTTGTTGCAAGCTACACATCAACGTTTTGGAAAATGCAGAATAAGAGTGCTGCCATAATCAAAGATTAAACACACACATCCGATTACTAGTAGATCCAGAGAAATGGAGAATGTACCTATTTCCTGCCCTGAGTGAAAGTCAAATACGTGAACCCACATGTCTTCTCCCCCAGCAATGAACTTATTCCCGTACTTTGGTTCCAAGGAAGCCGATTCCACAGTGCATGACATGTTGTAGCTTTTCACAAGCCCAAAACTACAACAATGTACACAAAACCAAAGAAGCTGTGAGCGATCAGAAAGGTGTTGGCTCAGGCTGAGTGACTGTCAGAGAGAACTTACTGATTTGCATCCCAGAACTTAACGGTTGAACCATCAGCAGTTGTGATATAGCGACCATCCTGACTGACTTCTGCACTTGTCACTGATGACTTAGTCTCAAGGGTTTGCACTATCTTACCACTTCTTACGTCCCACAATCTGTCACGCACAAGGTAGATATTAGTCCAAGAAGGAATTAGTTGAGGCAGTGTTCTGGGTTAACTTAGAAGAATAAGAAGCACACCTTACACCACCCATATCAGTGCATGAACCCAGAATGGTCTGATCACTATGCAGCCAAGCAAGAGTTCTAACTGAACCAGGGGATTTATCAACTTCTCTTGGAGGTGCATCTGGGCGATTCAGATCATAAATGCGCAAGATTTTCTCTAGTCCACCAGTAAGTAGAAGATGAGTGTCCTGGAGGCAAAATTGGAAGCTCAAGATGAGATGTAACCAGAAATAGATGCAGATCACTGAGAAAGGACAATGATGCCAGCTATTTATGCATCTGTGCAGTTAAGCTAATTTAATGTGGTCCATGTCATCAAACATACATTGTAAACAAGATTTTTTATCAATAAAAATCTGGAGAAAGACGGAAGTGCATATGTACCTCTGAAAATGCACAAGCTCTAACAATGTGCTTGTGTTCAAAGGAATGCAGTTCATCCCCCGTTAATGCATCCCATACTTTCCTGCAAATTGAGCAGTAGTCTAAAACTAGTTAGTCTCAACTCCACCAAATCCAAAAGTCAAATATCGCCAAGTAATATCACACATAGAAGCAAGGTTGTTCATCATAAGATAAGTTAAAGTGAACAAAAATTAAGACAACTGCATATATCGCCATGAAAACTGAGACCCTATTTCATAATTAGCCACAAAAAGACATCACATTCATATAAAACTCATGCCAAAATGTTAGAACTTAGAAGGGGGCTAACTGTATTGTGCTGCCATGTAAACAAGCCAATGCAGGAGAACAAAATTTTGGATCACCCAAGGGGGGAAGAGAAAACAGAAGAAGAAAGAGTGAAGAAACCAGAAACATAAATACATCAACAAAAACATGTTACTCACGCAGTAAAATCAGCAGAAGCAGATGCAGCACGTAAAGCATTAGTATCCAAACAAGAGCTCCACACTGCACCCTTGTGCCCTTCAAACGTTCCAATCCAATCTCCAGTTTCTCCATTTCTAAGCATGGGACTAGAATCTGAAGAGACAAAGAACAAGATCCTTATGATTAGAAAATGGAAACCAATCAATCCCATTACCAACAGCACAAGCATTTGAATAATCAAACTTGCTCCTTAGCAAATAGTTGATGCAGCCCTTCACTGATTCAACTAAATTACAATCATCCATAAGGTCCCATATGCAAGTATTTGCTGCAACCCTTCATTGAATCAACTTAGTTACAATCATCTATACTAGCTAATCACTTCCAAAAACAATGGACACACAACCCTCAGTGACCAACAATGGACACATAACAACAAGAATTTTGCCCCACATTCCTGCAATAACAGTCTTGCCAGCAAAAAAAATTCAACACCGTGAAGAAAAACCCAATTCGGAATTTAGCGCAAAGCTAAAGCGAAGATGATCATTACCCTTGCTGGCACTGATCAGGAAGAAACCATCTGGAGTAGTCGGGCTGTAGAACAGATCCACCACCGGCCGGGAATGGCCATGGCAGACCAAAGGAACGGCAACCTTCTTCTTATCCATAACGAAAAGACTCTAGCAAAATGCCTAACAAAAATTCCTCCTTTTTTTTCCTCTAAACGATCCCTTCTCTCCAGAAATCCGGCAAATTCTTCAACCCTAAAAAATATCCACAAATTTATCCAAATCCCAACAAAATTGGGGAAACTGTACCGATCAGCCGAGCAACGAAGATTAGAGAAAACCAAGAAATCGTCTTTCTGTTTGTACAGCGATTTGAAATTGAAAAAAGAAGGGTAGAAGTAGCAGTGGAAGAAGAAGAAGAAGTAAATTTGGCACAGGTGGGAAATACGTCCCCCGATGATCCTTTTTGAATCGGCACCTCCTAACCCTAGCTATAGCTCTAAGGAAATGAACCTACGAGAGAGCTCTGCCGTAAATATTTTCTGTATTTTTTGAATTTTCTTTTTGTTGTGGGGGGAGAAGAAAATTGGTTCCTCGGCCAGAGAGCAGTGACTCCTCCAGGGGCTAGGCGCAGAGTTCCCATGGCGACGGATCTGCTAATTTATAGCCTGTCCTCCGGCTGACTTTCCGGTTGCCGCCACTGTCCGATTGGGCCTCCATTTGCACCGAATTTAGTGGGCCGGAGACACTTAACGAGCCGTATCCACATGTGCTTCCGGCTTCCATTGCCCAACACTTTAGGAAAGTCCAAAAGATTCGGGGTGGATTCGATTCAGAATTGGAGAGAGTGGAGATAATAGCGAACCAAAATTGAAGAAAAAGCGAAGACTATAACTGGATCAAAAACATGTTTAGTTCATTCGATTTGACTCGGTTCGAATTGTCTGTCACCCAACCTACAAATGCCTCGTCAAGTTCACTCCATCTCCGCACAATTCTTGTTGGGTGATAACATTGCTATGGAGATTGGAGACTCTCATTGATTGGGCTCTCCCCTAATAGGGGCGCCGGCTAAGAGCTTTGGTTATGGCGGGTGGCTTTTGCTTGGTTTATGTACTTAGTTAAACTCTGGTTTGGCTTGTAATGATAACATTTCATGCCTCGTCATTGGATGAATGAATCAGTAGCATCATTCTTTTCACCCTTGATAGATGGCATCTTAGCAAAACGGAACTCGGTTCAACGAGTTTAATCAACATTTGGGTAGTTCTTGTGCTCAAGATAAGGAGAACCCACCTCATAGTCTCACACAACCTAAAGATTGTGGCAGGAGGTCCAACACGGAAGTATTAGCACCACTCAAACATCATAACCCGGCCGGGTACTACTTTTACTAAATTGCCCTTGATAAATAAAATACTCAATCTTAAATTTCAGCAGGAAAAGTTTTCATAAATAAAATACTGAAGACACACATTTGTAGCTCAGAGCAAAGCCCTAACACGTGGGCAAATTAACTCAAACTTTAAATCTCAATCTGATCTCCCGTCTATACTCATAATCATAAATGTAAATAACTAATAATATCTAATGTTGTTGCTACTGAAACCTTGACCAAGCATCCTCTGTGACGCTTAAACTGCCCTCCTCTAGCTGCCTGCCCTCGAATTCGCTGCTCACTAAATGCTCCTCTAGCTCTTCCTCTAGCTCTTCAAACTGGTGAGTGAGATGAGGTCAGTCTACGCCCTTACGTTTTAATAATTCTAATACTTGAGTACTTTACATAAACACTTAACTTTGACTAGTGGAAGCTATTTGTACTTCCAAGCTTAAAATCTTAACTCTTAAACTTTGAGGGAGTTGAAGTTACTCTCCTCTCTTAAAACTCAAATCTTGGCTTAAATACTTGACTGACACGGGGATCCCTCACTAGCTAGTGCGGTTGCCAACTCATACGTATGAGAAGCCATCCAGGCTTTCCTTAAACTTAAAGTTAGTTAGGGAAGTCGTAACGATTCATCCCCCTAACATCTTAAATTTATAGTGGTGGCTCTTCACCACGATTCTCAAGAGCATAACTGTTGCTCATCTTAAAAGTCTCAAGAGCATAACTGATGCTCTGTCTCAAAGATCTCAAGAGCATAACTGCTTCTCTATATGAAAATCTCAAATGGCAACGGACTGACGCTAGCGACTAAAAACACTTAAAACGACTTCACCTTCTCGAAGGTGAGTTACTTCTTAAAAAGAACTTGCTTTCTTAAACTTTAACAACTTATACTCTTAAAATTTCAAAGTAATAACCATTCACTTCAAGTCATAACTCAAACAAGGCACATATCATCAACCATAACCAGGCAATCTCAAACATGAATCAAAATACTACACATATATCACGTAAAGCAATACTCGAAAATACTCAAGGCAATTGCTTGAAAATCGTAAGGCGTAGAATTTACCCCCTTTACACTCACCTTTGATTTTGCGCTTTTGCCCTAATTTGCCAACACCACAAGCTTGGTTAGGTGCCTCCTCCTGCCTGCTTAATAATGGCCACTGCCTATCGATCTCCTGCTGAATCGCCAACCTGCTGAGTCAGGTCCTGCTTGCTTGAACAATGGTCTTGCTTGCTTGAATAATTGCTCCTGCTGAAATCGCCTCCTGTTTGTTTGAGAGCATATTCTCCTGCTAGCAAGTTGCTTTCTGCAAATCGCCACCTACTTGCTTAAGCAGGCCGCTGACGTAATAGGGAGGCAACTGACAATCAAGTCCCAACCGCCTACATCCGCTAATGGTCCTGCTTGCTTCACTAATCGCAGACAGGCTGGTCAAATCACCTGGCGGAGTAGACAGCAACCAGGCACGTCCATTCCCGGAAGCTAGCTGGCCCGTTGGGAGGCAGGTCGCCGCCCCAAAACAGGCCCATGTGCGTCCCTTCCCCTTGTAGTGACAGAGCGAGCAAGCTGCTATCATAGTAGGCAACCCGACCCCGCGGCAGACGAGCAGTGACACTGCGATTCCTGATAGCGGCATTAACACGCCCACGAGCTTGCTTAAGCAAGCAGCTCTCGTAGTAGTAGAGAGTAATAGCGCCGCTTTGCTTTCATATCCCAGGAGAGCATAGTTTCGGTGAAGAAAGGAACAAAAGGCTACTCTGTTAGGTTTTTGGGTGAGGCCGAGTAGAGTGTAGGGTTTAATTAATCAAGGTTTTTTTTTTTTTTGGAATTTCACAATTACAGGCGAGTTTAATCCAAAACTCAAATATTGCACGTAACTTTCTCATTTTATGTCAAAATTTGACACCGCTTGAACCGATAGTTCACATTTTTAGTCCTCCTCAACATTACGGTAAAATTTGACAAATTTGGACCGAAGGCATAATCGTCATTTCGGCTTAGCAAAAGATGGGGTGTAACAACCACTCTTCCCAAATCGAAGAGGGTATTACGATTTGGGCTCATGTGATATGGTCAACATTGGACAATGACAAATAAGGTCAGGTGTGTTAAGAACATGAAATGATATCAATGTATTACTCATGTTTAGTGCCGAGACACCTCAAGTGGAGAACAAGGTCGTGACATTGATAAAAAATCGCGGTGTTTTGGGAATTGGAACATCCCAAAGTCACCCTCTATGTCATAAGTCAAGGCCTAGACCGTGACTTTTGCAAGTCAAGTTGTGACTCGTGTTCATGTTGCTACCATTTTGCCCATCTCACTCCCTCTTTGTCGAATGTCACCCCCTAGTAGGGAATTAGTAAGCGTTTAATGTGGGACGATTGCGATCGATGGATCTACATGAGTTTTTTGGATGCCATTCTTACTAAAGATAATGGAAATGTAATATCACATTTAAGATGGTTGGTTTCTCTCTCTCTTGCTAGCAAAATACTTCTCTCTCTAATTTTTTTTCGAAACTAACTTGTTCGCTGAAGAACTTACTAGCCAGAGAGCCCTCTAATATTTTGTGTTTTTGCTTGTGTTATGATGTGTACGGTTTTATTTTTGGGTTAACTTAAGATGTGTATGGTATACACTCAAATTGCGAAACCATTTTACTATTTGCTAAACTTAATTTAGATTAGATTAAATACAATTGACTATTACCGTTTGGTATCAAATGAATCTAGAATTCATTTCATTGTCAAATGAATTCTTGTATTTGGTATGTCATATTCAAATCTTAAGAAATAAAATGAATTGAATTCCCAAACCATGTTTGGCGTACGTTTGTAATTGAATTGAATTAAAAGTTTCCAACTACGCCCTTATTAATTTTCGTTAGAAACGATATTCATTGAAAATCCATCTTCTAAAAGATGCTTTTGGTCCCATACGTAGAATATCAAAGTGTTCTTGTGTGTTTCTATTCTATTCATTAGTTCTTTCAATATTTTGCCAATGAACCCTACACTCTAATTGTGGCTTCTCAGCATATTGATATAATCAAAACAGAAATATCAAATAACCAGAATATGCTACTAGCGCTGCAATCGAATTCTTGCTGACGTTCCTCATACTGCATGAACTGGCGTCAAATAATACATGTAGAATTAGTTTAGTTAATAAATGAGGACAATTATGTAATTTTGTTATAATTAGTAAATTCTTGTGGAATTCATTTGAAAATTTTATCTCAATTCCTCAGAATTGCTATAACTAGCTCCAATTCCGTAGAATTCAAAATTTAGAAATGGAAATGAATTCTTTTAAATACCAAACAAAAATAGATTTCATTTCACAATTAAGGGGTTAATTGCATGGTTGGTCACTGAGATTACAAAAAACGTTCAAGTTTGGTCACTCAAAATATTTAAATCCATTGGTGATACTTCAATTTACTGAAACCGTTCACGTTTGGTCACTCTCCGTCCGACTCCGTTAACTTTGGATGATGTGGCAGTCAACTCTTAAAGTTGACCGTTAACTTAGTGACGTAGCAATTAAAAAATAATAAATAAATTTAATTTAATTTATTTTTATGTCCAACTCATTTTTACCATAATAAAATAAATAAAAAGAAATAAAAAATTATAATTACTAATTATTATCAAATTAAAAGTGGCAACCGACACCACATCCCTTCCCCGCAATCACTTATTCTCTGCTTGGGGTTGCCGCCGACCGTCGGAGTACTCGATCATCTTCCCTCCCGGCCCCTTCCCGCCTCGAGTACTCGATCATCTTCTCGTGGAGATCGTCCATCATCGCGAACAACACGAGGTTGAAGCAGTTCATGCAGTTGGCGGGCGAGAAGTCCAGCTCCTCGGCTTAACCTAACAGCTCGTTTCTCCTTCTACTTCTAAGAGTCTCCTCGGGCCAGTTCCAGCTGTTTGTGAAAATGCTTCCGATCTGGCATTGCTTGATTACCTTCTGATTCTGCTCGAATTCGTTGAGGCCGAGCGATAACGATTCCTCCATGCTGTCTAGATATATAAAGTGGGAGAATTTGCTGATCATGGTGGTAAACCGCGATCTTTGATCTTGAGAGGAAGGAGGAAAAATTACTCCTCCTACTCCGCCACTGCCACCGCTCCCGTCGTTTCGGGATTGTTCGGAATCGGAGAATGAGATGTCGAGCTCGACCGTACGTGGGCACCGGGCCGTGTCGCCCACGGGCTAGCACGGCACGACACGGCACGAGCACGGGCACGAAATAAATGGGCCAGCCCGGCACGAGCACGAATAATTTATGGGCCGTGTCGGGCCTAAACTTCATGGGCATGGGCACGAGCACGACACGATATATAAGTGAGCCGTGTCGGGCCTAATATTTTCAAAACTTTATTGAGTATAAGAACGGACATGACACGAAAATAATATTTATTTGATAGAAAATAAATATAAAAAGAATTATAGGTTCAAATATTACAAAAGATATATACGTAATTACTAACACAAGTAAAAATGGACAAAGAATTAAACAAAGCCAAATCACACTCGCTATACTTCCAATTTTCTTTTCCCCCTTATTTGTTATTTTTCTCAAACATTATCGATTAATACTATCTTCCCCCGTCCAATTTTCACCTTCTTTTTCATTCTCTCTTTTGTTTTCGTCCTTTTCATTAAACACGAATACGAGCATGGCACGAGCACGAATAGGCACGGCACGATTCGAAACGTGCCCGGGTCGGGGCCGGGTCTAGCAAAGTTAACAAATGGGCTTGCATGGCACGACACGAAAACTGACGGGCCGTGCCAAGCACGACACGAAATATATGGGCCTAAAGCGTGCTCGTGCCATGCCGGCCCAAGCACGGCCCAACGCCCATGTACAAGCTCGACTCGATCGCCGACGAGGGAAGAAGCTTGAGCTTCTTCAACTTCAGCAGGCAGTCCAGGATCTGCCTCCACGCGCCGCGAATCGCTCTGCCAAAGCTGTTCGCGATGCTGAACACCGCGAGAATGGCTATTCGAGGCTTCAGGTCGTGTCTGAACGCGAGCGGCAACCACGAGTGGAGAAGAAGTGATTGCGGCAGATTATCTGGCATTGGCTGCCAGAAGAGTTATGTACGGACATCTTCGGAATACTGGGAACTCCGACGGTTGGCGGCAACCCCGAGCGGAGAAGAAGTGATTGCGGGGAAGGGATGTGGTGTCGGGTGCCACTTTTAATTTGATAATAATTAATAATTATAATTTTTTATTTCTTTTTTATTTATTTTATGGTAAAAATGAGTTGGGTATTAAAATAAAATAAATTTATTTTATTTATTATTTTTTAATTGTCACGTCACTAAGTTAACGGTCAACTTTAAGAGTTGACTGCCACATTAGCCAAAGTTAACGGAGTTTGACGGAGAGTGATCAAATGTGAACGATTTCAGTAAACTGAAGTATCACCAATGGATTTAAATATTTCGAATGAGCAAACTTGAACGTTTTTTGTAATCTCAATCACCTATCATGAAAAACTAAAATGATAACGGAGTTTAAGAAAACAAAACTCGAGAAGGAAAAGGAAATCACAAAAGTTCGAAAGACGGGCTGAACAAGTCGCCGATTCCAGCCACTGTGATCCCACCGCATATTTTCCTTCACTCTAAATCCGACCGTCCAGCTGTCAACCTTTTCCAAAAATGAAAAGCATTATCCACGGATACAAATATACAGGCTGTACCGGTAGCCAGTTTCTCCGTCCCTTCCTTCCATCCCCCTGGCTTGATTTCGAAGAAATCTCTGATACAAATTCTGCTCTCTCCCTCGAATACTGTAACCGGAGAACGAGAAAGCAGTCCCTCAAAGCCAGCTCCGCACTCTCTCTTCTTCAACAATGGCGACTGCTGCCGTCGAGATGAAGCGACCGGATTCATCGATAGGAGATCAGGCTTCTTCCGTCAAGGGCGTGTCCAAGCAGGGCGAAGGGCTCAAGCAATATTACCAGCAACACATCCACGAGCTCCAGCTCTTGGTTCGGCAGAAGAGTCACAATCTTAATCGTCTCGAAGCGCAACGGAATGAGCTCAATTCTAGAGGTGACTGCTCGGATCTCGTAACTTTTTCTCGTTTCTTATAGCCCTAATTTTGTCCTCCCGTGTATCATCGAGTCGCCTGTTAAATTCATTAGACCTAGGGTTTTGTGGCGTTTTGGGGAAGGCCGATTTCTCAATTTGGCGGGTAATTTGACGGTGTTCGACTTTGTTTGTGAGCAGTGAGGATGCTAAGGGAAGAGCTGCAGCTGCTTCAGGAGCCTGGGTCTTACGTCGGGGAGGTTGTCAAAGTGATGGGCAAAAATAAGGTCTTAGTAAAGGTAAGATCTTTCCATGAACGGAGATTGGTTGCTGCTGCTATCTAATGCAGTCCAGCTGATTGCTATTGCATTATGCTTTCACGAATGCTAGTCTGTAAAAGCCTGTGATGCCATGACGATTTGTCTGATGTAGCTTCTGTAATTGGAATGGAATCAGAATGAGACCAGCTAGTGATTCATTTTCTTTTTAGTGTTGGTTCAGTGCTTTGACTTGTTTCTTAATGCTTCTTATTGGAGACTTGATTCTCAATCTAGTCGTTGACGGTTCTCTGCTGTTTTTCATTGTGGCTAAGCATTCCTTTATGTGTCTGAGGTAGGTGGTGTTGAACATTATTCTGTTGGTGTTCTTTTCAGGTCCATCCAGAGGGGAAATATGTTGTGGACATTGACAAAAGTATCGACATCACGAAGATCACGCCTTCGACAAGGGTGGCTCTTCGTAATGACAGCTATGTTCTTCACCTTGTGTTGCCCAGCAAGGTGGATCCTTTGGTCAATCTTATGAAAGTTGAAAAGGTTCCAGATTCTACCTATGATATGATTGGTGGGCTCGATCAACAGATTAAAGAGATGAAGGAGGTTAGTTGGCCTTGTGTTACAGTGTGCTGGCTCCTAATCTGTAATTTTGATTGTTCAAGGCTGATTTGTTATTCTTCTTACTCGGTATTGTCAAATCAGGTCATTGAACTTCCAATTAAGCATCCTGAATTGTTCGAGAGCCTTGGAATTGCTCAACCAAAGGTATGTAGATTTTTGTGATAAATATTGCCGCTTATGAACCTGTTTTGCATAGAATCTTTAACTGAGATTCTAATTTTGTCTTGTTTTTATCGTCCATATCATAGGGTGTCCTACTGTATGGTCCACCTGGAACTGGGAAAACTCTGTTGGCTAGAGCTGTTGCCCATCACACTGACTGCACTTTCATCAGGGTCTCTGGTTCTGAATTAGTTCAGAAATACATTGGTGAAGGCTCCAGAATGGTTCGAGAACTTTTCGTCATGGCAAGGTACTTGTCTTCTGTAAACAGACTATTCCTATTGTATTTCTGATCCATGTGACCATGTACATATGAGCCCTCTTTTCCAGGTGATGGTGGAATTCTTTATGGAATGTGTTGTGCAACTGATGCTGCCAATTGATTCAGTTTTATGATGTCTGGATGATTATTCTCGTTCGAGAGATAAAACTTATGCATTTTGGTTTTCTTGCATTGATTCTGTTGCAGAGAGCATGCACCTTCCATCATCTTCATGGACGAAATTGATAGTATTGGGTCTGCTCGAATGGAATCAGGAAGTGGCAATGGTGATAGTGAGGTGCAGAGAACTATGCTTGAGCTACTCAATCAGCTTGATGGATTTGAAGCATCTAACAAGATCAAGGTACTGCAGCCCTTAACTTGTATGAGAATGAAATTTGTTTAAGCACAGAGTTGGCTGCGGTTTCTCTGATAAGATCTTCTGTTCTTATTATTTTTGCAGGTCCTGATGGCCACAAATCGTATTGATATACTTGATCAAGCTCTGCTCAGGCCTGGACGAATCGACAGGAAGATCGAATTCCCTAATCCTAATGAAGACGTGTGTACACTAATTCCAAACTCATGTCCTTGATTTCCTCCTCAGTTCAAAGATATTAATTTTTTTTATCATGCAAACTTGCAGTCTCGCTGGGATATCTTGAAAATCCATTCAAGGAGAATGAACTTGATGCGTGGGATTGACCTGAAGAAGATAGCAGAAAAGATGAACGGGGCATCCGGTGCAGAGCTCAAGGTAAGATAAAATTAATCTTATGCCACACCTCTTGTGTTCTTTTCCCCCCATCCTTCCTGTGAGTCTCGTGCTGATGTGAATCGTTTTGCATATGGTAGGCGGTGTGCACAGAGGCAGGAATGTTTGCACTTAGGGAGAGGAGGGTGCACGTAACACAGGAAGATTTCGAGATGGCGGTGGCCAAGGTCATGAAGAAGGAGACGGAGAAGAACATGTCGTTGAGGAAGCTGTGGAAGTAATTTGACTATACAGGGGACGGAGAGTTGCATATGTTCGATTTCTTTGAACTAAGCTTGACAAACTGAACTGAAACAGTGAACAAATGAGCCTATCTGCTCTCTCTCCCTAGTGGTCACTGCTTGTATTTTCGATCCACAATGCAGGAATGGTGCTAGAATGGGCAAGCCCCTTGCCCTTGTTGGCTGTTGCTACTCGGAATCACATGCCCTTCTCTATTGTAAAACAAAATGAAAACGTGTTGGTTCCAAGTGTATGATCTACCTCTATGTAGTTGAAGTGTCCCTTTGTCCTTTCAAATGCATTCCCTTTAATTACTGTTGTTTTCAGCTTCTGTATCAAGGGTTGCTCAGCTTCATATTCAATTCCTGCCATCTTGTGATGCAATTTCTAGGGCGAATGTTGAAGTTTTACCTTCCGCTACATACATGAATATCTCTCAATATCACCAATATTAATCATTGTCTTAACCCGCATTCGAACCAATAAGTTGGCAAACTAGCAAGAGATGAGATGCAATCCAGCCCCAAAGTAGAAACTAGAAGTGTACGTCAAGTCGCCCCCCAGGGGGTTTATTCCAGAAGTCGACATATCGTATCATCACATCACCAATTAAAGTTGGAAGACTTCCACGCTTTTAGGATCCTTTTGTTTTTCCCACATTTCACACTTGGACTTGACATGGACCTATCTTATATATTATAAATGTCATCATTATAATGAGCAACGACAATACCATGTTCCCTACTCCAAAACGTACGTTTGTTGATAGTTATGGAAAAATTGAATGTTTGTCAATTCGACTTGAGTTATCCGTATATTGTGATCATAGATAGATACAAATGTACGCATATTATTAATCTAATTTCTTACTTGAATTATGTACGTCATCTCAAATAACAATGCATTTTTACAAATATGACTTGTCTATTCGTTAAGATAATGACTGCCTTGTTTGATGAATATAAAGCTCATGACAAAATACACAATTTACCGTCTAGAATCAGAGGTTCTAAACTAACCTTAAAATTCCTGAATACCCTGCTTTGCAAGTTACAATTGCCTTCTATTCTTGTCTTTCTAGAAAGATTGGAAAATGGAGTGCAGGAAATGCAAAGGAGAGGAGAAGAGAGGGGGCAAGCCACGCAATCAACAGTCAATGTTTTGTATCTAATTGTTCTGGAATCTGGAGCAATTGATGGCGGGATGAAGGCTTAGTATCCTATTTTCAGGGTCTCTCTAATTATGATTGTTCCACTATGCATGCATGGGTTTACTATTCGACGTATTTTTTTCACTCATTAGGTTAACCATTGGAGTAAACCAAACGGCTGACTTTATATGAGACGTACGTGAGTGTCTTCTTATTAGTGGGAAGCATGACTATCTTGGCAGAAATTATATTCCATTTGCATATAGTTTTATTTTTATTAGTGTATCTGATAAACCAACAAGTCATGATAACTTGAGTTGTTGGGAGAAGTTCATGTATAGATCTTATCATTAGCTTCCTCACACTTTTACTCCAACGAAAAACCAGCGGATCATGCGGTTGAAGTTTGCACGGACTCACCATACCACAGTGGCGGATCCAGAAATTCTAAATAGGGGTGTCCTCTTCAAAAATTAAATTAAATATTAAAATTAAATTAAATAATTATTAAATATGAAAATATCTTACTAATAAAAGTTACATTAAAAGTTCAGACATGTTTCGTAAAATGGTAAAATACATTCGGTGTCTATACTGCTCAACAATGATCTTTCGATATATCCTATTATAAAAGGGTATCCAGTAATTGGGTTTAATCGTTAGGTTTTAAAAATAATTTGGGATAAGAATAACATTTTACTATTATATTTGGATCTAGAACACAATAAGAAATGAGTTGTAGTGTAATTGAAAATATGTTTACTAATAGTGGCAGTGTCTCAAGTTTAAATCACATAAACTACTACTAAAATATTATTTGTACTAATATGCAAACTACTATGGGAGGTTAGATAATCGTTTTCCCAAATTTTAAGGGTGTCCCACTACCACTTAAACATTTTTTTCCCTCATATACAAACTACTATCGGAGGTTGAATAATCGTGTTTCCAAATTTTAGGGGTGTCCTGGGACACCCCTAGACATGCATGTATCCGCCCCTGCCATACCATGTGTTTTAAGATAACGGGTGATATAGGGAGGCGGGAGGACTTGAACGCGTGAACTCAAGGACAACCCAACTCTGACGTCATGTAAAAAACCAACCGATTCTAATAACTCGAGTTGTTGGAAATGAACATTGAACGAAACTTTTTGCAACGAGTACAATGTTGCTAGAATTGTCGAGTCAAAGTGCGATTTAATACGCTATATTATTTGCTTGCGTTCTCAGCATGATGATGCGATGTCATTTCATCAGAGTATATGTACGGGTAGTTGCTGCGTATAAATACACAATGTACATATAGTCAATGCGACTGATCATCTAACCACTAACCAAATTTGTATTGAATTTTGAGATAGGTATTCCGTTCATACTGTGAAAGTCTACCACTTCTCTACTTAGTCAACTTGTTCTTGGTAATCCAAATGCCCTAATCTTTATTTTGGATTGGGGTAAATTGCAAGATTGGTCACTAAAAGTACTAAAAAATTCACGTTTGGTCACTAAAAGTGTTTTATTCCATTTATGGTCATTGAAAGTGGTTAAATGTTTCACGTTTGGTCACTCTCCGTAAGTCTCCGTTAACACTGTTAGTTTTTTTGCTGACATGGCTAATAAAAACGCCAATTCATCAAATTTTAACCGGCCACGTCAGACCCTATCATAACCCAACCTAACTCAACCCCTAACCCAAGCTGAATCGACCATACCCCACCCACCTTCCCACCACCGTCGCCGCTTACCATCCCCATCTGCAACCACAACACCGTCGCAGCCTTGACGCTCTACTCTCCTCCTCCTTTGTGACCTCCACAACTCTCTTCAATCCCTCCCGTTGACTCCCTAGAAACCTCGATTGCGGCTCTTCATCCAAATCTTCCCGCAAGCGATTGACGACCAAAGATAGCAAGAAGATCTAGATCTACAATTAAAACTTGGACGAGGTTTTCTACTGTGAACCAAATCGATGTCGACTGTTCCGACTGTGATAATCGAACAAGATAGATCTGCTGCCCCAGTTTGAGATCTTCCTTGTCGCGGCTCTGCTCTCACCTCTCGCTGCCCTCTAATCTTCTGACCACCTCTAATCAACCGAACATCTGTTGTCTCGGTTCGATTCCCATCGTCATCTCGCCTTCTCATCTCTAGCAATTCAAGGAGAGGTGAGGCAGAATCTTAATCAGGTCTTCCTCTCCGATTGGAAAGTCAGCCACGAGTCGGCCGGAATAGAGAGGGAGGAGGCACGCAGTGAGAGAAAAGGAGCATCATCGGTGAGGAAGTTACAGTTGGAAGGAGGGAGATCGGGAGTCGGTGTCCTCCCTCAACTCTCATTTATCATCAGCGTTCTCCTCTCTATTGTCCTTCTTTCGATCAGAAACCCCAAAGAAGCAAAGTGGGAGAAAGGCGATAATTCGTAGAGGGAGGAGAAATAAAGGTATAGAGAGGCTCGAATCGGTGGGGGTTAAATTGGGTTGGGTTGAGTTATTTACTGGGTCTGATTTGGCGGGTTATATGACGTGGCACGTCAAAATTTGGTGAATCAGCGTTTCTGTTAGCCACGTCAGCAAAAAACTGACAGTGTTAATGGAGACTAACGGAGAGTGACCAAACATGAAACGTTTAACCACTTTAAGTGACCACGAATGGAATAAAACACTTTTAGTGACCAAACATGAACTTTTTAGCACTTCGAGTGACCAACCTTGCAATTGACCCTTTTGGATTGGGTTTCCCTTCTATTTCTCCGACCACCCATGGCACATACCCACATCCATCTAACCTAGAGAGTGAGATATCTTGGGCTCCTCACATAATCCAAGAATCAATCGCGAATGGAGAATTAAAGGTCATTTGTATTTTCCTAGAGCCCGCAACTTTCGTTGTTATAACTTTATGAAAATAAATTTGATTGGCTTCTCTCCTCAGTCCTCACTCATCAAAGTTTGGTGGTCGGCGATCCAATATCTTCTGGTGACGGCCGGCAGGACTATCGCATGGTCGATAGGTCTTTTCCTAGATGTAACAACGAAAGTTGCGGGATCTAAAAAACTAAACTTGGGAGATTCATGAACTTTAATCGGCTGGTTCTTGGCTTCATAAATTGAATTTTTAGTTGTTCCAGATCTAAGAATGGAGAATTAAAGGTCATTTTTATTTTCCTAACTTTCTTAATCGGCTCATATCTTCTTCATTTTAACTTTAATTTTTTTTTTGCACAGATGGAACGAGTTCGTGGTGCTTTACAAAATTAGTTCCATTTTCAATATTTTTTGAGAACAAAATTTCTTGCCTCTCGGTACCAACTGCATACCATATGGTATTTTCTTCATTTTTAATTCATTTTTGAAAACGTTTGCACTGAAGAAACGAGTTCATCATGATCTATTGGATCTACAAATTTCTGTGTGAACAAATCACAGAACCAAAAAATACCATACAATACCACATAATACCACCATGGTACGGGGTGGTATCTTGTGGTACACCATGTTAAAAGTCATAAATGACAGTTAATATACTTCTACTATCATGTATTTAACCATCCTACAGTCTTGGTTTGTTTATACCACCATGATACGCTTTTCAAACCATAGGTATGCTCTTATTTCAATACCAGTCAATACCAAATGGTATAGACTAGTAAAAAATGACTCAATTTTTTTTCCCCAAAAATATATCAAAGTGGATATCATTTTGAAGAGCACATTTAATCTGATTTATCTGTGCAAACAAATTTAAATTTCGACTTAAAACGAAAAATAAATCGTCCGTTAAAGATTAAAAAGGAAAAAATAAAAAAACTTTTCAAGAGAGAGGGATGCCAATATCATTCTGTTCATAATTACTCACCATAAGGTTACTCATCGAATCTGTATCCCATACCGATTGAACAAACGGATATGCCACGAGGTTGGGATAAGACCGTATATTAGAAACAAAACCAGCGATAAGGAAATTACGACCAAGTCGTATAGTTAGTAAGCAACAAGCAGACTGCAATAAATCTGGCAAATGGATCGACAAGAGAAAAGCAACCCAATAAACCACTTGCTGTCTCCCTCTTGGAAATAATGGCTGTCTCGATACGGATACGGCATCGTTTCTGTCCACGAGCCAGTTCGAACCTTCTCAAAGACCATTATCTACTTAATAATAATTAGCCAATAATTTAATTAATCAATAATATGCACCTAACCTACATCTATATAAATCCCGGCCCAAAAAATTAAATACAGTTGACTTCCTCTCTCTTTCCCCCAAATTTTATAATTAATCCATCCCCTGCTTTCTTCTTCTTCAACATCTTCAGAAAAATCTCTAACCACCAATACTATTGCTATGTCAATTCTTCCCCTCTCCTTCTCCTTCCTCTTCCTAATATTCCTCCATCACCCCTCCGTCTGCCTCGCCGACATCGGCACCGCCGCCTGGTATCGCCCGCCGTATTCCCGTAAGTAACTGCTATTTCACCGTTACCTCGCCCAATTGTCAAAGATGGGGATTTTTTTTAAAGCGAATTGTTGTTTCCCGATGCAGCGACGGCGTGTTACGGCAGCGACGCGTCGCAGTTCCCGTCGAGCTACCTGTTCGGGGCGGCGGGGGAAGGGATATGGGACAATGGGGCGGCCTGCGGGAGGCAGTACAAGCTCCGGTGCCTCAGCGCGGTGGCGGCCGGGTCGTGCCAGCCCGACCAGACGATTCAGGTGAAGATCGTGGATTACGCCCGGAGCTTGGTCTCTCCCGGGTCGGCGTCCGGGACCACCATCGTGCTGTCGCAGACGGCGTTCGCGACCGTCGCGAATTGGACCGCCAGCCAGAGCATCAACATTGAGATCCAACAGTAAGTTTGGCCAGAATCGATGCTCTGTTTTTTTTCCTTCTTCTTCTTTTTCCTCAATTCCGTTAGAGTCCCCTGTTTTCTGATCCCGTGGATTGAATTTTTCAATTGCAGGGTATGAAGTATGAAGAGAATGCTTTATTCGGGGGGTTCCGAAATCGCCGAGAAGGGGATCATCACCTGTGACGGGCGAAAACTATAAAAGGAAGTTTGGAGAGTACATTGTAAAGTCATTAGCGTCAGCTTTCCTTGGAGGTGGACATTATTTGCTGTGTGTATAGCCAACAATTCCAAATCAATAAAACAATTTCTCTATTTTAGTTTTACCTGTTTTGGCATAGAGTAGAATTCACAGCAAGTAGAATGTTAGACAAGGAAACAAAGAAGAATTAACCAACTAAATTATGGGGTTTAGGGGGAAAGAATCTAGAATTTTAGTTGTTTAGTCTATATATATTCTATTGGAGTGGGAATGCGAGTTGTTTAAGGGAGAGGATTAGGTGACGAGATTTGGAAAAAAATTATAAAGATTTGAAAGACAAGTTTGGAATGGAAGGATCATTAAACATAATTTGTTTCTTATAGTAGTATTATTTATGTGATTGTTTTTTGACGATTTGTATTTCTTTTCATTTTTTTTGACAAAAGATAATCATATATTGATCGAGAAAAGACAGTTACACCCTGGAATTGAGCCAGGTCTGAAAAATCAAAGAAGCGACAAATAGTCGGGTACAATGAAAAGGCCTTTCTAGCCACTACATAGGCTACCCTATTATAACGCCAACCTACGAATCGAACACTAAACCCTGGATGGCCAGCAAAATATTGCACTACTTCATCAAGAACAACCCCCATCTGGTTATCACTGGTATCCGCTTGCCTGATCTTATAAATAACCACCTTGGCATCTCCCTCAAATCCTACCAACGCAAAACCGAGCTCGAGACACCACAACACAGCTTCACGGAGGACTGGCAACTCCACCACAGCAGGGTTATCAATGCCTGGAAACTGAACTCCTTTAGCGAGCAAGAGAGCCCGATCCTGGTTCAAAATCACCATCCCCCCTGCCGCATGAGACCCAATCCTCGTAGCCCCATCCCACATACAAACTACCATGTTAGGCTCGACTGTCTCCAGCTACTGTAGAGTGGGATGCAAGGCCGGAGAGGCTTGACACCCCGACAACCTTCTCCATTCCTCATATTGCTGATTATACTGGCGCAAAAGAGCTGGGATCCCATACTGCTTATATTCAAAGACAACCCAGTTCCGAGATCGCCAGGTCCGCCAAATAATGGCTACAACCGCCATAACCAGCTCCGACTGGTGTATTAAACCTAGCAACTTTTTCAGAAAAAGAGGAAACGTTTGACGGGGCAGCCCCTCACCGAGGTACTCCAGCCTAGAGTAATCCCAAAGGGCACGGGCCACCGGACAGTATAGGAACAAATGCTCCATTGTTTCGGGTGCATCCCAGCAGACCGGGCAACGAGGGAGCACCGACACTTTCTTCTCAATGAGAGCTTCTGTAGTTGGAATGTTGCGATTCAGAATTTGCCAGACAAAAACTTTTAATTTAGGCGGAATATCAGCACCCCACACCTGAATCCCACTGGACTTATCCATCCAACTGGTTGAGGCCCGCCACAATCAACTCTGTTTGTCCAGCGAGACCGCAAGGTGATAGGCCGATTTAACTGAGGATATCCCATCCCTAGTTTCATGCCAGATCAACCTATCCTCCACATTCTCACGCGGAAGCGGAATAGCTTTAATTGCTCGACAAGTAGGAGGATCGAACCATTGGCCCAGCTTAGCATTATTCCATCGTCCTTCCCCCTGACAAATAACCTCCGCCACAGGAGGATCACCCCCTCTGGCAAGACCCGGGCATTAAACCAGAGAGGATCAAGGTGAAGCCTAGGAACCTAGTTGGAATGGAGAAGCGAAGCCGTCTGACCATTACCCACCTGCCAACGTAGACCCTTTTCCAGAAGCTGACGACCAAACAGAACGCTCTGCCACCCCCACGAGGGACGAGATCGAGCTTTGGCTGTGAGGAAGGTGCCAGTCGGAAAATATTTTCCTTTATAGACTTGGGCAAGCATGGAATGAGGATCAGTGAGGATACACCAACCAATTTTAGCTAACAGGGCTTGATTAAATTGCTCAAACCAGCGAAAGCCCATCCCCCCTTCATGTTTACTCGTGCACATTTTACGCCAGGACATCCATCGAACCTTAGGCTTGCCCTCCGCCGCACCCCACCAAAACCTAGCCACATGTTTATCCAAAAGCCGACACAGAGAGACAAGCAGCTTGAAGTAGGACATCATATGCAGTGGTAATGCCATGACAATTGATTTAATCAAAGTTTCCTTAGCTGCCCAAGATAAAGTCCGCTGCTTCCATCTTTGGAGGCGTTCAAAAAGCTTTTCCTCCAAATATCGGAAGGTAGCCATTTTGGATCGGGTATTTCTTTTCATTAGCATGGAAGGATTTGAGCATTTGTTAATTGACATGTGCTAGGTAAACTATTGTCATACATATGTGACCATTTGTGTTCTTCAAAAAATATGAAGCTTGTTTCAACAAAAAAAGTAAAATTATGAAGCATGTTTCTGAGAACGCTGATAACTCGAAATGACCCGAAACTTTATGTAAAACCTGCTGGATAAGGTCAATATTTGATTTGAAATCAACAAAACCAACATGACCCGACCGTAACGGCCCGTAACCTGAGATTCCCAACCCGACCTGATTGACAAACCTTTTTTTCCGTTGAATCAGTTTCTTGTATTGCTCAATGAGAATCCGATACAACGAAGCAGGATCAAACAGATCTTAGAAGAGCCAACTTGCCTCTACCCTCTACCCATCTGTGATTACATACAACAAGAACTAGTGGGTACTATTCACTAAAGAAAATGTAACTCTACTAGTGCTGCCTGTATTGCTTTGTTTCCAATAGCTATATACTGCAGGTCCGCCAGTAACATTTCAACAACTTTCTCCGGTGCCCTACAGACTGATCCGTGAACAACCCCACATCTTTCCTTCCACACGAATGAAATAATCATACACCAGAGTAAAGCATGCACCTGAGCTGTTCGAACATTCCTGCTAGCAGCAATAGCAGCCTGCAACATGGAATCCTAGTTTCGATGCGCAAGTAGTTGACAATTCATTATATCTGCTAATCTGCAAGTAAACGAACATGAAGAAAAAATGATCTCTAGTTTCAGTTGCCACACCACATAATGGACAAAAAGCATCCACAAGTTTGCCCCATTTCTGCAACTTATCCCTCGTGACAATAACATTCTTGTTCAAGATCCACGCCAGCAGATTATAACCTGGATCACAGGCCTTGCACCAAATAAGTTTGTGCCATGGAACTTCTTGCGCTTAACGCAATGATTCCCAGACTGTAACACCCTAACCCGGCCAGGAATTAATTTTACTAAAATTTCCCTTGAAAATAAAATACCAAAATGTGAAATTGTAGCGGGAAAAATTTCATAAATAAGATACTGAAAACACACTCTTTTAGTTCAAAGCAAAGCCCTAACACGTGGGCAAATTAAACTCACATATTAAAATCTCAATCTGATCTCCAGTCTATACTCATAATCATAAAACATAATAACTAACTAGTCTCAAGTGCTGCTGCTTGTGTGAAACTCTAACTAGACATCCTCTGTGACGCTCGTACCATCCTCCTCTAGCTAGCTTCCCTCGAACTGTTTCTCTCGATCTCGCTGCTCTCTAACTGCTCCTCTAGCTCCTTCCTCTTCAAACTGGTGAGTGAGTTGGAGTCAGTCTACGCCCTTACATTTTAAAAATCTAGTACTTTAGTATTTTACTTCAGATACTTAACTTAAACTGGTGGGAGTTGTTTGTACTTCCACTCTAGCTAGTCCGGTTGCCAACTCATATGTATGAGAAGCCATCCAGGCTTTCTGAAAACTTAAACTTATCGTGGAAGGCTCTTCTTCCACGATTCTCAAGAGCATAACTGCTGCTCATCTTAAAATATCTCAAGAGCATAACTGTTGCTCTATCTCAAAGGTCTTAAGAGCATACTGCTGCTTTATCTGAAAATCTCAACTGGCTACGGACTGGCGCTAGTGACTAAAAACACTTAAAATGACTTGACCTTCTAGGTGAGTTACTTCTTAAAAAGTACTTGTTTCTTAAACTTGAACTTACTTGTAAGTAAAGCATGCAATAACAACAACTAAAAGCATATTCACACAAAATCACATGGCATCATAGAAACACACAAAGCAAGTATGGCACATAGCAATCAATCTAAAAAACTCAAATGCCGTAAGGCGTAGAATTTACCCCTTTACACTCACCTAGCTTACTATTCCAAATCCACGTTAGTTAATCGCTATCAGCTATCAATAGCCGCCACCATTATATCCTGAATTCTGCTCCCTGAGATCCCTTTAACAATGGCGGATGCTGACTCTTGTTCCTCTTTATCAACAACAAGCTGAACTCCCTCACCCATCTCAATAACCTCCACGTATGCTCCATCCATTCCATGCTCCCTTACACGTCCCATATCCCATGCATGAATACCCCATGCCAAAGCAACGTTCACCATGAGTGAGCATAAAAGAAAGCTCCAAAATCATTGTATCCCAATTTTAACAAGTTGTCCGGTCCATATGGAGTTTCCCCTTCTCGATATTTTCCTTCCTCCGATCTGCTCCGCGATCCACCGATTCACCTGAGGCATCCTCGGTGCTTCCTTTTCCATCCGGAGCCTATCAAAAATCGAAGAGCATCCCGCCTTCCCCTGGTCATATATAACATCTCCACCGGCAATAAACGTGGGCGAAAATTCACTTACCTTCCTCGCCGCTACGGACAATTGATCAAGACCTCCTTTGTTTGGTTACCATTACACTCCTGGTTGCAAAGTCGACAAACCAATGAGGCGGCACTGCTTGCGTAGTGGGGGAAAGACGACGGAGACGATGGTGATGGGAACCTGGAGCAGTGGACGGTGCAATTCCATGTTTTATTAGTTTTAAGCTTAACATATATATACCTAGGTGAGGCCGAGTGAAAGGTAGGGTTAGGTTAGGGTTTAATTGCCCCAGGCTTATCTTGGAAATGGGGGAGTTTAATCTAAAACTCAATTAACATCCGTAACTTTCTCGTTTTATATCGAAACTCGATACTGTTTGAATCGAGAGTTCACATTTTTTTGTCCTCATTGATATTACGATGGAATTCGACAAATTTAGACCAGGGGCATAATGGTCATTTCGACTTCGAAAAAGATGGGGTGTAACACAGACTTTTCTTACTAAGTAAACCATCATTGACTCTGCACCCCAATAGATTACTCCATTCTGTTCCCTTATCCATGGTTGAATTAGAGAGCGTAACTTGAGCAGACGATGCCATGTCCATGAGCTACAATATTGAACTTTCAAAGACCAGAGATCACCCTGTTTACTCTTATATGCATTCATCCACTCCACTCACAACGTCCCTGAATTCAGTAGCAAAACTAGAGCATGCTAAAAATGCTTTCCTGATTCCATGCTAGGAGATCCTTCACTCCTAATCCACGCTCTTCTTTTGGAAGTGCAATTGATTCCCAAGCCACCTTTGCCTTCCCTTCATTATTTCCATGCAACAGAAACTGTGAACAGACCTTCTGGACTCGTTTAAGAACCTCCTTGGGAAGAAAAAATAGTTGCATCCAATATTGAACAATCCCTAATGGTACAGAGTTAAGGAGCTGAAGCTGACCTGCATAGGTTAACTTTTTTGGCCCTCCAAGATTTAATGCGATTTGTAATTTTGTCCACTGGAATTCTACCTCCTTAGAGGATAAATTCCCAGTGGTGAGAGGCAAGCCTAAGTACCTTACTGGCAACAAAGTAGTCAAAATCGGGATTTTACGTAAAATAAAAAATGGAGGTAAAATCGGAATCGTAAAATCGAATCGTAAAATCGTAGGATTTTAATATTCATATAAAAATGATGACAGAATAATATTAGTAAGGAAAATCATGAATAACACAAAAGCACATAACACTTATGTTTGAGTCTAACTAAGAGTAGGAGGGAAACTCGGGTGAAAGGTGGGCGAGAAGAGTAAGCAACAGGGGATTTTCAGGCAGAGGGAATTCCTTAGAGAGATAAAGTTCTTAATATGTCAGGCGTTTAGGCCATACTTCTACCTAGGACTAGACGATTTGTCTATGATTATACCTAGGACTATGATATGACAACTCTTCGGGGAATACGATGTCGTTTTCTTGGGTTCTTTGAAGCGCGAATTGTAGCGCGATCCGTCTCACGGAACTTCGTCTGCGAGTGCGGCCTTCTGCGCGCCCGTGATCCTCACGCGAGCGCGCCCTTGGTCATGATGGTGCTAACGCGCATGGCCTTTCTGGGGCGGTGCCGGGCTGCTTCCTTGGCGCGGCTAGACCCGAGCCATACCCCCAACAATTGCCCCCCATTAGGTGGTATTCCGCGAATGCCGCTTGTTTGATCTCCGCGAGATGGGCTCGGGTCTGCGTGATCTCTGCGAGATGCTCTGGTCTGGTTGCGCGTGACTCTTGGGATTGAGATTGGATTTGGGTGTGCTTTTTTCCTTTCCGCGGGTATGCCATGCCCCCCAGGCGGTGCGCGGAACCTGTGACGTCACCGGCTAGTGTCTACGCGAGGTAGGTGTCCACGTGTTCTTATGTGATTGCTCTTTTTAGGCGGCGGTTTTGAAATTCAAAAAGCACTGACGGTTACGATTACCGATGTAACTTTAACCCTTCAGTCTCCCTTCGTCAACTATAAATACAAGTTCATCATCGGGGGAAAAGTCTTTCTCTTCTTTTCGAACTCTGCTTCTCCTTTCTATGTTTGCTTCATCGCCGAGATTCCTCTCCTTCTCCTACAACCTTATTTCTCCCTCTGTTGTTGCTAATACTCAGAGGAGTATCATGGCCAGCACCAATATTGACGAGATCGAGGTCGTGCAAGACGAAGAAGGTAATATTTCCCCTCTTTCGCATATTTCTACCGATCCTTCGCTGGATCTGGCCGATTCCGGCAACGGGAACGGTAGCTGGGCTGATGATGAGGGAGTTCCGGCGACGCCGTCGTACGCCGTCGATTTGGGATGTGATTTCCTACATAGCTCATTCGATGTGGGTATGGTAGGGCTTACAAGTGGAGATCCAAGCACGCGTGCTCGCAGGGTGTTGATAATCCTCCGCGAGTGGACTCCGACACTCAATCGGAGCCGGTTTGTGTTTCGCGCGTGTCTGAAGCGATGAGCCGGCTCGGCGTTCGCGGTGTGGGCGCGGCTTACACCATTTTGGACTGGGCAGAATTGTGAGGAGCGGAGCCAGCGCCGCATGACAACCTTTTGCGGGGGCCCGATCACGTGTCCATCTACGGGCGGAGGGAAGTGACGGAGTTTGTGTGCGGGTTAGGTTTGCCCCCCAATTGGGAGTATGCGGGTCCATCCGCACGTAGTAGGATTGGAAACTGCCCCCTAGGGTGGTTTGGGGTATACACGGAGTACTAGAACAAGAGCTTTAAGTTCCCCATTGACCCGCTGCTGTGCGCGCTGTACAGGAGCCTCAAGTGCTCGGTTGGGCGTCTGCCTCCTTCAGTGATCATGCACGCGTCGTGCCTCCGCCTTGTGTGCAAAAGGCTCAAAATTCAACCATCTTACGGGTTGTTCCGAAAGTTCTACAAGATCACGGAGGCGACGGAGAAGAGCGATTGCCTCTCTATCAGGCGCCGTGACAAGAGGTCTAATGGTTACGTGTATGGGTCCCCAAAGCTGGAGAAGGATTGGTTCGAGCGGTTCTTCTTTGTTAAGCCTGTTCCGGGGGAGTGGGCGAGTGAGTATGTGGAGGAACCGAAGGTGTGGAAAAAGGAAAGTACGCGCGACTATGAGTCGGAAGAAGGCAAGTACGACGGGCTCAACGAGGAGTATGAGTCGTGCTTGTTGTAGAAGATAAATTTATACTCCAACGGAGTCCGCGCAGCTTGTTTGGAGGAGCTCTTTGCGGATGGTTAGTGATGTTTCTTTCCTTTTGCATTCTGTCGTATTAACAACCTTCTTACGATTTATTGGCGCAGGTGTTGACTTCTCGTCGTTAGTGAGCATGATGTCGGTCGACGACGTCGTGCGGGCTCCGCGGGCAGAGAAGATGGAGGTCGCGCCACCTGCTGGCGCGAAGAGAAAGGAAGTGGAGCGACCAGCAGTCGCGGAGAGAGCGGCGAAGGTGCCACGGACGACAGCTCAATCTCCGCCATCAGTGCAGCAGGCACCCCTGGCGGTCGTTGAAGGCGAGGCGCGAACGACCAAACCGCCACGCCCCGAGAAGGCGGTGGTGGCTAGTTCATCTGGGGCCACCGTTCAGCAGACGCTGTCGGAAATGCCCAGTTTTTGGGCGGCCCCCATCGACTACTTCCGCGAGGTGCTGATACATACCCGGGCGGCTTGCAACAGCCCGGCCGCTCATACTGCATTGCGGGTCGTTGGGCCTATGCTGAGCGTCCCTTCGCGGCTGGAAAAGTCGGATCCACTGCAAGATTTGTCCAAGGTCCATTTTGTGGTAAGATTGCGTTGATATCTCGTACAATGATTGATTTTTCAGTGATTCCCATTCTCTAAGTCTTATGGCGTTGTGGGTGTAGGGTTTGCTGGCCACATTTCGTGCCCAGCAGGAGCGTGTCCGGGACCGCGCGACGGTGAAGGCCAAGCAGTCGCGGGCTGTGCAGCTGGAAGGAAAGCTCTTTGGAGCTGAGGGTCGCGCGGAGTTGGCGACGAACAAAGCCGATGAGGCCATGGAGCAGCTGGGCGTTTTGCAGAGCAAGCTGTCGGAGGATGTCGAGGCTGCAAAAGAGCGGGTTAGGTTGGAGCAGCAGGATACCATCCGCGAGGAGCTGCGGAACGAATTTGAAGAAGAGCGGAAGCGCCTTGCGGAATAGCGCGTCCAAGAGAAGAAGCGTCTAGTGATGGACCACCCGGAAATGCTGAGGCAGGTGCGCGAGGGTTTCCAGAAAGAGAAGGATGATTTGGTCCATCTTCATACTGTGGCCAAGGCGGAGGCCGTGCGCGTGGCATAAGTGAACGCGGTCCGCCAGTATAAATCTTCCACTGCGTTTGGCAAGATATTGGCGGACGCGATGACCAAGTTTATGATCCCGGTCCGCAAGAAGGTGCGACCAGATAATCCGCGGATGCGCTGGAACACTCGCGCAATGGTCCGGCACGTTCAGCAGTGGTTGGGCGAGAAGAGGCCTTTGAACTCCGACTCTGAGCCAGAGACTTAGGAGGATAATGTGCGTGCTGAGCAGGCGGCGGAGGATGAGGGGGCCGGGGCGGCCCCCGAGGAGGAGGCTGGGGCGGGGGCAGGAGAGGAAGTTGCAGCGACTCCCGACGTGAACGTTGTAATAGATTAAGCTTCGTCGCGCTCTGTTTCTCTTCTTTTTGCTTTGTAGTTGGCTTGCCGTTTTTGCCCGCTTGTTATCTCCCTGTTGGAAATCCAAATATATTATAAGTTGTTTCGCGTTCATTCCTCTTGTTTATACAACTCATGACTGCGTAATGTGTGCCTTTTAAACTTTCTTAGCACGATTCTTGATCGCACGATTACGTTGCTACTTTGTAGCTTTATTCAATTTCTTTGCCGCAACTCATGTTTGCGCGATTTTATTGCGAATTATATGCGTGCTCAACTTTTTAGCGCAGTTCATGACTGCACAATTACGTTGCTATTGTAATAGCGGCCGCGTTTGCCGAAACATTACGTTGCCTTCCCCTATTGCGCGGTGGTCTGGAAAGAAGAAATTATCATTTCATAAATAGGGCATCAAGATTACATGTGGATGGTGGTTACTGTTTACGCCTAGAAAGTGCCAGGTGACTTTGTAAAGACCAAGGAGAAGACCGTTGGTTCCTTGAGATGGAGGACTTTCGTTCCCTGCAGAAAAGGTCCGGGGCGTTGCCCGCGGACACTCTCATATGATTAAGTTAGTGTCTAGAGAGAGGAGAATAGGTAGAGAGAGAGAGAGAGAGAGAGTGAAATAAGTTACCATTAAATGAGGTGGTCGACTCTTATTTATAGTCTGTGGCAGTTGGTGTAAGCACTTGATGTCTTGTCAGACATATACCTAGTATCCCTTTACGAGGTACGCTCACGGCGGCATTTAATGTGGTGTCAGAGACGGCAAGGTCGTTATTGGTGCCTGCTCCGTCAGTCGTACTATTCCCAGGCGTTAACGCCCTGCGACTAATCTACTGACCGTTGGGCCGGCCCATATCGTGCTTTAGCTTTCCTTGGGCCTTTTTCCTTTTGGGCCGTATCTTGCTCCATGGGCCTTGATTTAGGTGGTGATCCCCAACGGCCCAACAGTTACAACCTCCTGTGGTATTTCCTCATATTTTGGGCGTTCAATGTCCGCGGGATTGGTTCCCCATCTAGCGCGCTTAGCATGAATGTGTTGGCGCCGACAACTTCGCGGATTAAGTACGAGCCTTCCCATGTTGATGCTAGCTTCCCGTGCTTTGCGTTGGGGCGGAAGTTGCGCCTCAGCACTTGGTCTCCCATTTTAATATTGTGTGGGACTAGCTTGGCGTTGTAGTACCTCGCGACTTGGGTCTTTGCCGCGGCCAGTTTGATAGCGGCTGTCTCTCGACGTTCGGTAGTTAGATCGTGGTCTGTCAAGCGCACTTCATTGTTGTTTTCTTCATTGAACATGGTGATGCGGTACGTGGGTATCGCTGTTTCGATTGGGATGACCGCATCACTTCCATAGGTTAGCGTGAATGTGGTTTCGCCCGTTGCCGCCTTGAACGTTGTGCGATGCGCCCACAGGACTGTGTGTAGCTCCTCCGCCCAGTTGCCTTTTGCTTCCACGAGGCGAGTATGTAAGCTGTGTAGGATTGACTTATTTGCCGCTTCCGCTTGTCCATTATCCTGGGGATACGCCACCGATGCGAATCGGGCTATGGCATCCACTTCATCGCAGAAGTCTATGACTTCCGCGCAGTCGAATTGCTTGCTGTGGTCGAATATGAACAAATTTGGAACTCCAAATCTGGTGAGCACGTTGTTCCTCAAGAAGCAAACCACTTGTTGGGTGGTAATTGATGCCAGCGCTTCCGCCTCTATCCATTTGGTGAAGTAGTCTACCGCGACAATGATGTATTTGCGTTTGCCTTTCGCGGTGGGGAATGGTCCCGGTAGATCGCCCCATTGTGCAAAGGGCCAGGGGTTGACATTTCCGTGGAGCTCGGTGGATGGTGTGTGATGTTGACGCGCGTTCAGCTGACATTTGTGACATTGCTTGACGAATTTCTTTGTGTCTTTCTTTATTCGCGGCCAATAATATCCTTGAAGAAGGATGTTGCGTTCTATGCTACGCGCGCCACAATGCATTGTGCAAATGCCCTCATGTATATCTCGCACGATCAGTTGCGCCTCGTCTAGTCCTACACACTTTAGATATACGCCCTCAATTCACATCAATGATAATTTTTCAAGGTTAATGTTTCAATTTATCAAGGTTAATGTTAAGGGTTGGCGAATTTATGATGATTAATACATTGATGTGAATTGATTATAGTCGATGGTGGTTAATGTGAGAGAACTAGATGATGTTGGCGGAGGAGAAGAAAAATAGGTATAATTTTGCAAATTCTTAGGAAAATAAGTAAAATTGACTCAAAGATATGAATCGTAAATTCGTAAGATTTTAAAGATTTTAAGGATTTAAATCGTCAATACTGTAGGATTTTAAGGTCCATAGATTTTATAGTGAAATCAGAATCGGAATAGGTAAGTAAAATCGTAAAAGCGTAGGATTTTAAGATTTAAATCAGGATTTTGACTACTCTGGCATGGTGCCCTCCCGGAACCTTGTTATATTCAATGCATTATGCTTATACTTAACCGAATCCCCTCCAAAGTAAACCTCGCATTTAGCTGGATTACTTTTGAGGCTAGATAACTGATAAAAGTGCTGAAGAATCATCTTAACTTGAAGTATAGCCTGATCAGATCCAGTAGTAAAAACTAGAATATCGTCGGCAAAACACATATGATTCAACCTGACTTTCTTACACTACGGGTGATAAGGGAGTAAACCAGACTGACTAGCTGATATGATCCCAAATGGTATGCTTTTTGGATCCAAAAGATGTCATTAAGGTTGTTTTCCAAGACCTCAAAGTTGCTCACTCAAAACTAGAAAACTGCAAGGAAATTGTTAAGTATAAATTTGAGTTCATGAAGCCTACTTTGGAGCTCAATTTGAGGAGCATGGATATGATTCAAGTCAAAAGGCTTCTACAACATGAAAATAGGTATGTTTATATACCAAGGGAAGGAATCAGATGAAAGATTGGAGTTCTGGAAGTCCTCGAACGAAAGGCGCGAAGTTAGTACGAAAGCTGCTTTTGGACTGTTTGCTGGCAACTTACTTGAGACTTTGACGAATTGGAATGAAACCTTTGTTTTTTTTTCAAGTTTGCGTACTTGTGTGAGCTTTGGTGGATTCCAAGCTCGTTGAGCTCCTGTATCGATCAAGAACGCGTTGATCGTGTCCGTACATCTACCCTTATATCATTCGAGCCTTCTTCCACATGAAAGATTGCATGTTTGATTCCGTTTTATCCAAACACCCAAGAACATCCTTGTTTTTGGTTCGAAATTCCGTTTAATCAATTCAATCTTTGAATTGATTCGTTGCTGTGTAATTCTGATCACAAAGTACCCCCTAGTGCTTTATTACTAGCTTTTGAAAATAGTGTAGACAACCCCTCCATTGCTATGGTGAATAGATAGGATGATAGTGGATCACCATGTCTTACTCCCTTCCTGTGCTCCAGTGAAGATTGTCCCTTGATCGATTGTTATGGTGGCTGGCAAACCAAAACGATGAATAATGTGTTCCTTGATAAAAGAAATCACCTCCCCCTGGTTCACCGTCTTCATTGGTTTTTCCTCAATCAGTAGCCACAATGATAAAGGTATGTTGCTTAGATGATGAGACATTGACTTGTCCAATCAGATCCATTTCCCAACCAATGAACCAAAGAATGGTCGAGGCTTAATGATAGATCTCAAATCAATGGCAGGTGCTATTTGCACTGGTCCATGACGCTGGTAAGCTTCACATCCCTTAGCAAATGCTGCACAATCAGGCCCAATAGTTGGCCAGTAATATCCATATCGATGTAGCATCCACCTCATGGATGGACCAACTTGATGTGATCCACATATTCCCTCGTGGATCTCACCCATAGCTTGTAAAGTCTCCTTGCCCCCCAAGCACTTGAGCAACAAACCATCTGGTCTTCTTTTGAACAGTGTCCCATCTAGTAAGACATAGTTCCTGGCCCTAGATTTGGTAGTATAGTCTGCATTCCCACTTGGATTTTGCAAGTACTTCACCAGAGGAGCACGCTAATCATTGGCATCATCTTCAATCACACACACCTCAACAACTTGTTTCATCCTATCCCTCAAAGGGCTAAGAGTTTGCACGAATATTTGATCTCTTCCTCCGCTAAGAGACTCTCTGAAGCTAGATGCCAGTTGGGACAGATAATTGGCTTTTCCATTATCCATACGAGGAATAAACTTGATGGACACATTATCAAAGCGAGAAATCAACACTTTGACCCGCTCAAGATACAACTCTAACACATAGCTGACACATCGGTATTCACCAAGCACTTGGTACACTACTAGTTCGGAATCTCCCCTAATGTTGATATTATTTTCCTTTAGGTCAACAAGATTTCCAAACCAATAACCAAAGCTTCATACTTTGGTTGATTATTAGTACATGGCCCATCAAAGGAGAATGCAAAGTGCATGGCATGACCTGACGACGGGGTCAATACCATGCCAGCTCCTGCTCCTGAACGTGTCTTTGAGCCGTCAAAGTACAACGTCCAAGGTGTTACATCCCATCTTTTTCGAAGTCGAAATGACACCATTATGCCCTTGGTCTAAATTTTTCGAATTCCATCGTAATATCAATGAAGACGAAAAAAATGTGAACTCTCGATTCAAATGGTATCGAGTTTCGATATAAAATGAGGAAGTTACGGATGTTAATTGGGTTTTGGATTAAACTCCCCCATTTCCAAGATAAGCCTGGGGCAATTAAACCCTAACCTAACCCTACCTTTCACTCGGCCTCACCTAGGTATATATATGTTAAGCTTAAAACTAATAAAACATGGAATTGCACCGTCCACTGCTCCAGGTTCCCATCACCATCGTCTCCGTCGTCTTCCCCCCACTACGCAAGCAGTGCCGCCTCATTGGTTTGTCGACTTTGCAACCAGGAGTGTAATGGTAACCAAACAAAGGAGGTATTGATCAATTGTCCGTAGCGGCGAGGAAGGTAAGTGAATTTTTGCCCACGTTTATTGCCGGTGGAGATGTTATATGTGACCAGGGGAAGGCGGGATGCTCTTCGATTTTTGCTAGGCTCCGGATGGAAAAGGAAGCACCAAGGATGCCTCAGGTGAATCGGTGGATCGCGGAGCAGATCGGAGGAAGGAAAATATCGAGAAGGGGAAACTCCATATGGACCGGACAACTTGTTAAAATTGGGATACAATGATTTTGGAGCTTTCTTTTATGCTCACTCATGGTGAACGTTGCTTTGGCATGGGGTATCTATGCATGGGATATGGGATGTGTAAGGGAGCATGGAATGGATGGAGCATACATGGAGGTTATTGAGATGGGTGAGGGAGTTGAGCGTGTTGTTGATAAAGAGGAACAAGAGTCTGCATCCGCCGTTGTTAAAGGGATCCCAGGGATCAGAATTCAGGATATAATGGTGGCGGCTATTGATAGCTGATAGCGATTAACTAACGTGGATTCGGAATAGTAAGCTAGGTGAGTGTAAAGGGGTAAATTCTATGCCTTACAGTATTTGAGTATTTGAGATTGATTGCTATGTGCCATACTTGCTTTGTGTGTTTCTATGATGCCATGTGAGTTTGTGTGAATATGCTTTCAGTTGTATGTTATTGCATGCTTTACTTACAAGTAAGTTCAAGTTTAAGAAACAAGTACTTTTTAAGAAGTAACTCACCTAGAAGGTCAAGTCGTTTTAAGTGTTTTTAGTCACTAGCGCCAGTCCGTTGCCAGTTGAGATTTTGAGATAAAGCAGCAGTATGCTCTTAAGACCTTTGAGATAGAGCAACAGTTGTGCTCTTGAGATATTTTAAGATGAGCAACAGTTATGCTCTTGAGAATCGTGGAAGAAGAGCCTTCCACGATAAGTTAAGTTTTCGGAAAACCTGGATGGCTTCTCATACGTGTGAGTTGGCAACCGGACTAGCTAGTGAGGCATCCCCGTGTCAGTCAAGTATTTAAGTCAAGCTTTGAGCTTTAAGAATGGAGAGTAACAGTAACTCTCATACAGTTTTAAGAGTTAGGATTTTAAGAGTGGAAATACAAACAACTCCCACCAGTTTAAGTTAAGTATCTGAAGTAAAATACTAAAGTATTAGATTTTTAAAATGTAAGGGCGTAGCCTGACCCCAACTCACTCCCCAGTTTGAAGAGGAAGGAGCTAGAGGAGCAGTTAGAGAGCAGCGAGATCGAGAGAAACAGTTCGAGGGAAGCTAGCTAGAGGAGGACGGTACGAGCGTCACAGAGGATGTCTAGTTAGAGTTTCACACAAGCAGCAATACTTGAGACTAGTTAGTTATTATGTTTTATGATTATGATTATAGACTGGAGATCAGATTGAGATTTTAATGTGTGAGTTTAATTTGCCCACGTGTTAGGGCTTTTCTTTGAACTAAAAGAGTGTGTTTTCAGTATATTATTTATGAAAATTTTCCCGCTACAATTTCAGATTTGAGTATTTTATTTTCAAGGGAAATTTTAGTAAAATTAGTTTCCGGCCGGGTTAGGGTGTTACACAAGGATTCTCATCGACCATCCCAACTTCTACTTGCTCTATTGGCATACTTACACATGGATGGTCTGCCAAAAAATCTGCTAGGGCTTGACCCTTAACTGCCCGTTGTGGCACATACCAAGTGTCCACTTACCAATCCTACCATGAATGATTGGCCGGGACAATATGTATTTAATAACATCAGTTTGGCAAATGAGCTGCACCTCAACAGGTTCCAAGTATTATATTAACTTCGTACAAGCAAAGTACACGGCCAAACATAAATTTTCTATGGATGAGTATTTTTGCTTGGCCTCATTCAAAAACCTACTTAAGTAGTAGAATACTTGCTCATTGCTAAAATCATTCTCTTGAGCCAACATACATGCTACAGATGTGTCTGTGGGTGAAAGATATAATTTCAAAGGACGATTTCGAATTGGGGAGCTGAGCACTAGCGGGTTCACCAAATACCTTTTGGTATCTTCCAATGCTTTTTGGTGCTCCTCTCGCCACACAAACTCATCTTCCTTCTTCAACTTGAGCAGCGAAGAGAAAACTTGGGTCCGGCCTGCACAATTCGAGATGAACCTTCGAATATAATTGACTTGGCCTAGGAACCGCTGCAACTCATTTTTATTGCATGGTGGCATGGCCTCAATGATGGACTTGGTCTTGTTCTGGTCGACCTCAATGCCACGTTGACTCACTAAGAATCCTAAAAAGTTACCCGCAGTCACACCAAAAACACATTTTAGAGGATTCAATTTTAACTTGTGAGCTCTCATACGCAGGAAGGCTCTATGTAAATGAAAAAGGTGGCGCCTTGTCACCTTCGACTTGACGAAAATGTCGTCAATGTATACTTCCACCAAGTCACCAATCAACTCATGAAATATAGCATTCATGGCCCGTTGGTAAGTTGCACCAGCGTTCTTCAAACCAAAAGGCATGACTATCCACTCATAGCAGCCAATAGCCCCTGGACAGCGAAACACCATCTTGTGCACATCCTCCTCAACTATATAGATTTGGTTTATAGCCAGATAGCAATGCATAAAAGAAAAAATCTCATGTCTGGTAACAGCATCAAGCAACATGCCAACCACTAGCACATGGTACACATCTTTTGGGGTGGCCAAATTCAAATTCCTAAAGTCTACACATACACGCAAGCTGCCATTTTCTTTCTCACTGGCACAATGCATGACAACCACTCAACATACCTAGCAGTTCTGATGAACTTCGCTTTCAACAGGCATTCAATCTCTTTCTTTATTTCTGGCAAGCCTTCATAAGGAAAACGTTTAGGTGGTTATTTGTAAGGTGTAAAGCCACTTTTAATTGGTAACCTATGCTCTACTAATTTTCTATCTAGGCCAGACATTTCATGATAATCCCATGCAAAGCAATTTGTAAATTCCTTTAAAAACTCAATTAACTCATACATGTCAGACTCCGACAGGTTGGCACTTACGAAAGTTGGACGTGGATTGTCCTTAGTGCCAAGATTGATCTTCTCCAACACATCACATGCAACAATGTGCTTGTCGTCTTCTACTACTTTGCTTGAACTCTTTCGGCCTCCTCTGCCACTCTTGTATGGAGTAGCTTACTCATTTATGGATGATGTCTCAGCTTGGGATGAACCATCCACTACAAATATTGATGGTCTCACGATGTCAAATAGAGGGTCAACACATTGTTTTCTCAACACCTTTGCACTGGACATCACCATTGTACACGACCCACCATCCACTGTCTTGATCTCTAGAGGGACAAAATCCCCACGGTAAAGGGGAGCTTCTGCTATATTGGCCCCAACAACAAATGGGTTGGTGTCAACTCGTACCACTTTGACCACACCATCCTTGTTTCAGAATATTAAAACTGGTGCAGCGATGACGGCACACACTTATTATAGCATGTATCCAGTCTCTACCAAGCAAAGCGTTGTAGCTAATTGCTCCATCAACAACAAAGAAAGAAGTCATTCTTGGATACCCACTCTTACAACTACTGGTAGTATCCCCTTTGCAGTGGTGGAACCACCAATGAAGCTGGTAACAAACACTTCCGTTGGGATGAGATCACTTGTACTCTTTCCCAACTTCCTGAGCATACGTGTGGGCATCACGTTCACAGCAGCATCATTGTCAACCAACACCCTTTACGCTGGTACTTTATCAATATGAGTTTTTTATGTACAATGGCCTGAGATGTCGAAGCATCTTTGCATCCGACTCATTGAACACCATTACTCGACTTGGTTCCTCAACTATTGATTGTTCAACGAAAACCTCTTTCCCTTTCTTGTTGCCACATGCATAACACTCTTTTCATCTAGCTTCTCTTCGATAACCACAGAGTTATCTTCTTCCTCAAATTCTGAACCCCATGTAGAGTTCTCAATAGGAAGGCTTGTGGATCTTTCCTTAGTACAATACGTAGTAGGGATAACAACCATCATCCTCACCAAGTACTCCCACATATTTGTGTCCAACCTTGTACAATTCCCTTAGGATTTGTTGAGAAATCTTGTGTTGCCTTGTTGTCTCAGCAGACAAGTTGATTCTTTCTCCAGTACGGGCCATCATGACACTCCACGGATCATACTCTAGTGCCAAACTTGCAAACTCAGTAACTAGTTCAACAATGGGTGACTCTTCATCATCTCCATCCAAATCTAGCTCGGAAAATCCATCAGCCAACTCTCCAATGGCAAATCCATCAGCCAACTCCACTTCAAATTCACCATCTCTTCTTTCACCATCCATCTCAAAGTGAAAAATCATTGGCAAAATGTAGTTATTCACCACAACAGGTGGCAAACTACCAAACTGGATGTTTGTGGGCGTGTTATGATCATCATCCTCGTCATCCTTGTTCTTTCGGTCAAACTTTGACGTTGGATATTTTGACTCTAGCATCTCTTCTTTCATGAATGACTCATCCAGCTCTGCATCATACCCATCATTTTCTGGGGCTTCATCATTCTTCCTTGCACTCTTGCCACTGCCAGACACCGTGATCTTGAGACCAATGACAGCAGAGTTGTTCACACGAACATTGATATGCGAAGGAACCTTCTATACTATGTCGGGGTCATCCCATCCACGACAATTGGTTGTTGATGACGAACATCATAAGTGTGACATCCATTTGATGACACATTAGGCATCTTGAAGGTTCTTCGAACAGGTGGTGAACTTCTGGCAGGTAGGGAGAGTCCAAAATGTGCACTTTTGAAAAGTGGGCCATTTTGAGCAACCCATTGCCTATGTTGCCCTCTTTCCCATGCAGGTGCACATACTCTTTCCACCTGACGTTCATATGGTGGATACCTTGGCTTGAATGGTATTTGTGGAACAAGCCTTTGATGGACTGATTGGGTTGGTCTCTCTCCACCAAGACTCAGATTCCCTTTGCTTTGTGCACACAACTTTTCTTCATCAGCCGGATCAATACGTGACCCATCTTGCATGCCAGTTGATGATGAGCCAGCTTGCACAATGACATTGGAGTTGCCACTTGGCTGCGGTGTTGTATCCAACACCAGCTTGAAGCATAGCAAGTCAATCTTTGAAAAGTCAAGATTGACCATGTTGATGCCCACGACATTTGGGAATGGACCAGTATCCACTGTCATGACATCCCTCTTAGGGTCAGGGAACTAGATGCGTCCTTTGTCAATCACATCTTTGAAAAACATTACGAAAAACCACACAACTATTAGTTGCATGTGACATACTATTATGCCACTTGCAATAATGTTTTCCTTTTTAACTTCTCAGAGGGTGAGATACTATGCCCCCCAGACAGCTTAATCTGACCATCCTTGTACAATTGGTCAAAAATTAAGTCTAACTTGGCTATATCGAAAGAAAATTTTCTAGGTTGGACTAGAGCACGATTAGATTTTCCAATTTGCTGTTCATTATCCATTTTGACTAAGGAAGCACAAACGTATGGCTTCCCTTGCACAATTTCAGCCAAATCTATCTCGACACCATCTCCATCCTGAGCAACATGGTTAATGGTATAATCAAATTTAGGGTGGTACAGTCCCCTAGATGCACTACTTCTATTCTTTTCTTCACGTTGAAGAGTCTCATATATAACCGCACATGACATCAACTGGAATAAATCAGAGAACTCCCTATCCTAAAAAT